GAGTCGTACTGTTTAAGCCGTGACCAAAGTCTGCGCGTGACACAAGAAGTGTAAGTAGCTACACTAATTTGTACGTAAGAATTAGCTAAAAATGAGAATTTGAAGAAAAAAACATCATGCATCGATGTAAAATTTAGTCAACGAAGAATAATCTCACGTCGGATTCTAGTTAGTTCGTGCATAATATATAGAGTGCAAATATTATGTCGAGCAACGCCTGCTGGGCATGTAATGTACGATAACCGACTCGTAACAGCTCGTTCGTACATATCCTAAGCCAAGTGTTGGCAGGAATAAAACATCGACTCGAGTATATGGAGTTGCTCGCGGGCGAATCGCGACTCACACGTACAGCTCCGATATATACAACGGAGCAGTCGACACTCTGCTGCAGCTAAATACGCGGAAAAGAAAAGCCCGCGAGTAGTTCTCGCGCTCGTTTGTACATTATATAGATACGTCTGCGTTGTGTGCATTTGATCTCTCGTCGCATCTTTGTGCATACACCACTACTACTTCTGGCACCAGAGCGTACTACGCGTGCTTATATACAGATAGAAAAAGAAAAGTCGTGCGTTGCAGTGGGATTCTCTCTCGCGAGCCTTTTTGACGCACGGTAATGTGGCCAATAAATCTTAAAACTGCGAACTTGTTTGTTGCGCGATAAAACCACTTTTTTTTCTTTCTCCGTCGACGATCGTATATAAGAATTTATTGACTCTGTGTGTGAGTGTACGTGCGTGTGTGTGTACTTCCCTGATGCGCGTTTGTTGCTATTTAAGTATATATAAAAAGTCGATCGCTGCAGCCTAGACTTAGCAGATAGATCGGTATACATATATCGATGCGAAAATCGGTTCCATCCGGGCATTGATATCGATTTCGTTTTTGCGATTAATCGCGCAGATGCTCTTCGTTTTCCGTAAGTAAATTTGTGAAAGTAGCTCGCTATAATAGCAATTATAATGGGGATCGAGGCTCGAGAATATATAGTGTGTAATATATATCCCCATGATAATCGAGCGAGCGGGAGAGAAAGAAAACATTAGAAGCTTTGGCAGTGTGTATGTTTTGCTATATCGAGCAGAACTAGATAATATACCTGCCCGCGACCAAGGAGTTTCTTCCTTCTAGCTCGCGCTTGCCCACGAGCTTCTATGTGTGTGTGTGTGTAACCATGTAATAAACTAGTTTTGCCGCGAAGCGGCGCAAATCGAGCGTACTCGTAAAGTGTACCAAACGTGCTGTGCTCACCTCTTATACAGACACACACACACACGTGTGAGTATGCGTTTCACTCTGCTTATTCTCATACATACGTACGCGGGCTGTATAAGAGTAATTTATTACATGTATAATGCGTTGCACTCACTCACCATCTCCCGACTTGATTAAATTGTGGAATACGATATGAGCGAGTCGTGTCGAGTGCTGCCTCCCTACCCCCGCAAGGCTCGTGCATTTTTAATTCGACGCGCATTGAATTGTGTGTACCTTATATTATGTTGGTGCACGCGCGCGTGTCAGAGGCACGTTATTGTTTCGAGCCTCGCACGTGAGAAGCTCGTCGATAGCTCCAATTGCACATCGGATATCGATGTATAAACAAACTCGCTGAACTTGAATGTATACACCTCGACTCCGAATCCCATGTTTAGAATCTGCCAAGCCGATTGCTGAATAATAAAAGTATATACGTGTACGAATGAGACATTTAACTTTGGACTGCTTGGATAATGAAGCAATTTCTTGCTGTACGGGCCGAGAGCGTAGCGATGATAATGTGCACCCGATATTATGTCACTCCAAAAGTTAATAATACACGTTCACACTCATGGAGTTACCTCATCTTTTATCATCGCGCCTTTCTGTCTGTCGCGTGCGACATATATATTATATATAATACGCCGGGAAAGGAAAAAAAATAATGAAGGAGCTACCGGCCGCGAGACCATGATAATCGTTTTATGTCTCTACCTTACGAGCCGCCTACCTTCTTTATGGCCGTTGATGCCAAAAATGGCATTATGGAACGCCGCGCGCGAACATAATAAGGATCGGGATGACGACGATGAATATTACACATTATCGTTATTATGAGCTGGCATTCACCCCCTTGGCCGACGGATCGTTTATATATAGAAAAATTAAATAGCGTGCTAAAGCCATTATTCGATGCGTTGCTTCGAAAAATTCCTGTACATAGCCAAACGTGTAGTACATGCAGCCAATGTCGCAATCGGCTCGCAAGTGCACTTCGGCGTAACTCGTTTATTGCCTATCTCCGAATAACAGTGATTTGTTTCGATCTTGCAATTTCGGAAAATCGCCAAACTGTCGAAATATAAAAGCCAATAATACCAACGTAATGCTCTTTCTTAAACGTTCACGCAACTTTTTTTTCTCTCGTTCCCTCTATCTCTCTCTCTCTCTCTCTCTCTCTCTCTCTCTCTCTCTCTCTTTCTATCTTTTTTTCTTTTAACGACGCCTTAAACACAAGACGGAAAAACTCCCGCTGCACATAATTTTGAAGCAGGAAGTGGTTTTAGGTGCGCAATTTGTTCGCGGAATAATTGTCCCGCGACGCGCGTATAATGCTACTATACACGTATACTTGTTCTATTGTTGTGCACTTTTACAGGTGTGACTAGCGCCGCGACAAAACAGTGTCAGTTTTACGGCCGGTCGACTATTACGCGATACACCACGTACACGTATATCACACTTTTCACCGAGCACGGGGATGAGGTCATTGAAGCGACGAATTAATTAATCTTGCTTCTTGAGATTTGAAAATTATCTGTTTTATGGGTAATTGATTTTTGGGTCTTGAGATAAAATTTTTACACCAAGATATTGCCAACGTCGAATTATAAGTTTTTGGGTTTAATTTCGTCATTCGAAATTTAAACAAATTAATACAGCTCGGGATGCTGCAATAATTTATACGTCTTTTATTCGATATTAATGCATTTATTTTATCAGCTACATGTTTATTATTCGTTTACAGATACGATTAATCGGATTTCAATACTGACCTTACAACCATTATTTATTCATAGTGAATCTAGTTTATAGACTGATAGACGCGGATTATCATAGACCTCCAGCACACGGAGGAGCTTTTCACTCCACACTAATTTTAAACTGATAAAATCTAATGAAAACTGATCATACGATAGATCGGTATACACTTCAGATGATCGTTGTAGATTATATTATTTTATCTTGGCCTCGTAAATAACTTCAATTGAAAAACGCATCGATGTAAAAAAAATTTCCGACGTTCGACTATTTGACAATGGCCATTCAAAAAAATGGATAAAACAGATTGCATTGTATCGGAGAAAAGTATCGATTAGGCTATAAGATCGAAGATCCATAGACTATTTGCATGGTACACAAAATTGCAACGGTGTAACATTGAGCTTGCGTGAGCGGATCGCGCGCGTAAACACACGATGTAAAAGCGTAATGCCTGGACAAAATAATGCTCGATAGCTTCTGCTGAAATTCTTGGCCACATACCAGTTATCGAAGGAAACAATAAACTCTGTTATGTATGTACTACAGTTCCTTTGGTTTCTCTTCAGCGGTTTTTCTGCTTCTCAAATATGTAAGACTGCATTCAAAGAACATTTTTTTGTCGTAGTATAAAATAACGTATTTTTGCATTTTTATCATTCTTAAAATCGATCATGGTAGAAATAGGCTTTATCTACAGTAATTTGTCATAGCGAAAACCTTTTGCTTATGGTTGAAACGATTTTTCTTGGTTATAATCCAGGTTACCGAATGGAAAATGTTGCCATCGCGACGGTTCAATGACACGATGCTGTAGAAATAGATCTACTTCCACTTTTTTTTTGCATCGAACTATACACTCGTTGCGAAGATTTACGCGTCTCGACCCCAATTGTGCATTGGGATGCGCGTGCTCGTTTTTTCCTGTATCTTCGTGGAATTGATATACTTTGCTGGAAATGATTTTTTAACTGACATCCCGATCTATTACTTCATATATGATTTATTAACAACAACGTCCCGTAAAACCAAAAGACATACGTCAAATCGATATTTAGGTAATCAGATCTTGTCGTTTTGCTTAATAAAATTCGTCACTTTAAGAACTACGATGGTTGTAAATTTCATTCATGAAAAATAAATCAAACGGCATTTTTTAAGGCTAACATCGTTAAGTCGCATGATACAATGGCTTGGTATGCCACGCGATGATACTTGGTTTATTTTACTTTTTTATAGATTTGTTTTTTTCATTTCAAATCAGATTCGAGAGAGCATCTACGTGCGTTAAAAACATATTTATTTCTTTAGAGTCAGCCGACATGATTATACGTGATAACCATGAAAGCAAGGTCAAACCGATGATAGACTTTTAAAACTTATTTTCCAACACTATCGACGCATTCACGTGCCTTTGTAATGTGCAGGTTGATAAAAGGCATTTCTCGATGACAAGATTATGCGAGATAATCATCATTTGGATTTTGACATTATTGATAAACATCAGTCGATTGGTCAAATTAACAATGTACGTTGGTTTATGTGTAAAAAATTTTTATGATCTCGCCAATCAAAATGATATATTGGCGAATCTCAATTAAGAGCTTAAACACTCTCGATTTCCATTGTTTTGATGAGGCTCGAAATTTCTACCGCTAATCAATGAAAATGTTGAGTTCTTCGGATGACACTATCGTAATTGGACGGCTATTTAGCTAATCGACTTTTACAGGGGGATAATCACGCCATATAATTTAGTGGAAAATCGTAGGTGTGTCGCGTTAGACGTGTAATTTTTTTTAGGAATTTATTAAACATAAATCAAGAAATTCTTTGTACCGAAGTTGTAAAATATCTATCTATCTAAAATCATTGTAAACATAAAAATTTAAAGTGTCGTCTGACATAGTCGAAATTGAAACGTGTGCCAGATAGTCGATCGTGTGTACTACTATTAAACACTTAATATTTGAAGCAGTCGTCGAGTCGGCTGCTTCTTATATTAGTTCAAAATCGGAGTGGTGGCAGGCAGCATTCTAAAAATTGACTGTACTCTGCGGTCTAATGCACGAGCTACTCCGATGCGACGAGAGAGTACACACAAGAAGTCGGCAAGTAGTAAAGTAAAGAAGCCTCCCTCTCTCTCCTCCTCCGTCTCTCTCCCTGAGCCGTCCGCGCGCGGCACACGTTGTCTGCACGGACCGTTGTGTATTCTTACTTAAAGAGCTTGATCGCAGAGGCTCGATTCAGTCTTCGTCCTATAACGCAAGCCCGCAAGTCGTGTTATACATTATATCAGGAAGCGTCGTCGACACGTTAATCAACATAACACGTGCTGTACGAAAATTTTCATGAATTAAGTCTGTGATTCGAGGAATTATATTGTGGAAGTTTGATTGTGCTACGCGGATCAGCTGTTGCTAACGTACTCTGATCTGCTGTGATTGCTATATATTCATCTTGAGTGATCGAGGACCGGACTTGTTAATTTGTTGGTGATAAACAATTTTTAATTGTTTCGTAGCCGTCGATTGTTTCTGCTGAAAGTTTTTTTCATCGAGTCTCAGGAGACTTTTACAAATAAATAGTAAGATAATTTTTTTTAATTTTTGGCTCATAAAGTATATAACTTTTATTTTAAACTTGCACGTGGTAGAACATTTTTGGTGAAGTAAAAGTTTTTTTGCGCGTGATTGTATCGGGTGATGTTAGTATCTTGTTGAATTTGCTCAAATATAATAAAACACCTGGCTTTATAAAGTGATTTATTACGGTGAAAAATCTAGTCAGTTTCGTACACTCATATAATCACACATTTGTCAATGAAAAATTATTTTCAATTCCGGTTTCACTTTGATCAAAAATTACTCAAAAATTTATCATTTTCAGTAATATTCATATTATTTAATTTTTTTTTAATTGATTAATGTCGAAGTACATTGATGATAATCATGCATCAATTAAAATTAGTGAGAAACTTGCAATGCATTTAAATTTTTCTTAAATATAATTGTTGAATATTATCAAAGTATCAAAGAACTGTATCTAAGATCACAAGAGAAACTTCAACAAGTACAACGATCGATCATTGTCCGAATAAAGCTTGGGCTTACAATCGCAAACATAAAGTCTCGACTCTCGATCGTAATTAATAAACGATTTATTATTAACATAAACGTACTGTCTCAGATATAAAAAAAGGAAAATAATAAAGAAATGGAGCAGAGCGGCGGAATATCGATAATATCGCCGCCGAGTATCACCGACAACAATGCGGCCAACAATAAGGTGAAAAGCAACGGCAGCAGCAACGGAGGCGGCGGTGGCTTAGCAGCCAGCACCGCGAGCCGCTTGATGAATGCCAAGGAAAAGCTGCGCGTGCCTTGTAAGTACATATATACAACAACAAAATATAACGGCGCATCTGCCGAGCACTCGGTATAGATATCTATTAGCGTCGGAGAGCTATTTTATATAATTTTTTTTTCTGCGTCTCGTGCGGCGCGTATATGTATGTATGAATTGGCACCGATCGCACCGAGATATCAGTGGCAATTCATCTCTCATTGGCAGGCATCGTTTCGTATTATATACCAAGTTTATATTATACGCACTGAGCGTGTGTGCGAATGCCTGTTGTATGAAAGATGACCCGAGTCCGAGACTTATTCATCAAACTTTCTTCTCTCTCTCTCTTTGGTCGTTTGATTTTGTCCCTGATTGAAGATTTATGCTATAAGTTCCATGTACGCTGCTCGCACACGTGCACGTATAGAAAGAAATGCATACATTACGGTTCCATCAATTATATGTATAAGAAGTAGAAATAGCTTGCAAAATTTCAGCTAGATGGAAAGTACATATAGAAAACTCAGGCGTAAATTTATGACAATCGCGGAATTACCAAGTGTCGGGCAATAATTTACTTGGAAATGCAGCTTTTTAATGCATATCGTACACAATATCGTATCCACGAAGCGGAATAAGACAAATTATAACACGGGCTGTCGAAACACTTTCATATCTTTGCCAGGCGCATAAATATCGTAATTAGAGTAAGACATCCGAAAGAAAATTCAGCGAGTCTCCTTTTTTTTTCATCTTGGCGCTCTGTCCTCATTGTTTTCGCAAATGACTTTTCGCTTTCGTGACTTTTAAAGCGCATACACGCGATACATATAATATATATATTAAAAATAAAATTACCATAGCAGTATGGCGTCGTTCGAGTCGATTTCTCACGCAGCCGCAATTGATCTTCATCAATGGTAACAAGTACGAACAATGGGTCGCAAAGGAATAATAACAAAACAAAAAAATCAGAGCGCGCGGCAATCTCTCGATAAAAAGTGTCGTCGCATGGCATTCGCACTACCACACTGCGAAAGTAAACAAAAAAATAAAAAGAAAAAAAGAAAAAAAAAACAAAAACGAAACAAGCGTATAACGAGCTCGCGCGGGCAGAAACTTATAATAGAAGAAATCGGCTTCTCTCGGTGCACATGGAAACACATGGACATAAAGTCCGGTCAATTTTCTGGAAAAAGAAAGTGTGTGCGCGCGCGCGATCTGAAATTACGATTGGCGGATCGTTAGAAGCGCAACTGCGCCGAATAATGAGATCTGCTTCTCTCGCGCTCGATCCTGGTGTGCGGAGTATAGCTCGGCGCTGGGGTGGTCGACCTCTATCTCTATCTCTCTCTATGTCTGTTGCTCGCGCGCACTACGGCTCTCCTGCGCGTGATTATCGCACGCGCGCGTAAAGCGTAACATGTCACTCTCTCGCGGGCGCACATATATATACGTGTACTACAACGCGCGTGCCGACCGCTCGAGCTCGGCGCTCAAGCGGAAAATGAAGAGCTTTATATGGCCAGTGATTGCGTTTTTGGTGCTCGTAGCTATTATCGGAATGCAGTCGTGGTATATACGTATACGCACCGAAGCCGGAGTTATAAAATTTCGAATTCGCCGCCGCTGACGCCGAGAGCTAGACTACTGCTATTATGTATACACGCACCGAGTATACTTACGACTTTAAAAACTAAAATAAAAAAAAAAGTAGTTTTAGCGTGAGAAGGTGACGAAATCTCCTATTAGGCTAAATGCTGCGTACTGCACGGAGACCCGGTGCGAACGCTGAAAACTCCTTAAACATACGCGCGTGGCACATACACATTGCATAATAACGATATTGTTTTTCGAGAGCATATTTGAACTTTTGCTCGAGTACGGATGAATTTATAATTTTTCGCAATGAAACGTGTGACCGCAGGACTTTCGTAATATACAGCTACTTGCACAATTTTGATTTTCCTTAAATAATCAATCAAGTACGGGGTCGCGCTTATTCCCTATCTATATATTGATTGAAACCACGCGCGTGTGTATTAATATATTCTATATGCGAGAGGCAGCAATTATGTGCATCACCCGAAAGAAGATTATGAAATTTTGTCTAGTCACGTGAATTGACTTATGTGTGCGATTGTAAATTTCGAGCTTAACGAGCAAAGAAAATATTGATTTTTACAAACATTATACACTAGCATTTTCAACTTATATATTCGAATCTATTCAAGTTTACATTGAATTATACCTGTAAATACGTTTCCGATTGATTGATGCGAATATTGCGAAAATTGTACGATGCTAAAGTCAAAATGAGCTCTAATTGAATGATTAAGTACTGATATCGGCCGCTAATTCTATATTTCTGTGGAACAAAAAATAATAAGCTCGACTAAACTTTCAGTTACCAATTGCGCTTTAGAAAATCAGTATTTTAATCTTCATATCATCTATAAAAAAAATCAATAATTTTTATTAACTCGAATTAAACATTAACGAAATATGCATGAGTAGAACAAATAAAGATTTAATTTAACGATTAGCTCCTACTTAAATCTTAACTGTTCATCGGCTGTAAAATGGAAATTAATGACTAAATGTTGCCACTGCTTATGCATGAGCTTCTTTCAAGTTTTAAAGCAATTCGGCTGTCATTGGCTTTAGTATTTTATGACTCGAAAATAGAAAACTTTGATTTACGAGAGTTTGAAAATTGTAACCTATTAATCATCGTATTGATTTTATAAATTGCATGATAAATAGACAAGTCACATTGTTAATATTGTTTTTTTATCATTCAAATCAAAGTAACCTTTTAACCAATTATTCAGAACTGTTTTCCAAAAATCATTAAATAGTTTGATTTATATGAAACCTACAAGGAAATTTGAAATAGCAGTAAAACTGTCATAAGCTGTCAAAATTTTTAAAGTCTTTTTCAAGCATTTGAAAATTTTTTCAGTTAGTAGTAGGAGGACACACATTTGAACAAACTACAATCAGCATAAATTAATGCAAAATTATTGTTTGCACATAGAAGAGCGTGATCTATCCATAGACTCGACGATTGAAAATTTTTCGTCATTGATAATAAATTCCCACAGCTAGTACTCGGAAAGCTAATATCGAGGAATTGCGAGTATCCAATAGATCGACATTTTACCTGCAGATGCAAGATTAATCCGAGACTTTCTCTCGTCTTATTATTTTGCCGAGTTAATGACTAAATTGAATTCCGTATTCACCGAGTCGATATCCTGCAGTTTTATTTCTCTCAAAGACAGAAACTCGCTACCTGTCAACGGTAACTGTTTTAGATAGCTGACCTAAAAAGCCACGTCGTAATTGTACCCAAGTCGACAATTAAACAAAAAAATAGGCAAGCCATTTTTCCTTACATTTCATACGAGAATCGCGTACTTTTTCATTTTTCGATTAGCAATTCTTATTTGCAATTTTGCAGCGCCTATATATCCATTATCGAAGTGCAACTTGCGAGAGTGAAAGTTTTACATGCTCGTCGAGTATCATCAATTCTGCCGATGCATGAGCGACTAAATCGAATTTTTCGAAAACGTCAGTCACATGTATATAACGTATTAAGTGCACGTATATAGAAAAGCTGCTTTCTAAACTAATAAAGGCACATAGACGAAACAATTGACATAGGGTCCTTTGCTTTCGTGTAATTCACTCACGTGTCGTTGGCATTTTTCTACAAATTACACGTCGTTCCTTTAAACTGTGTACACTGTGCAGAATATAACAGGTGGAGGGCATTCACATCAAGCTCGCATTTCTCGCTCGCTATACGTATATAAACTTGACCCACTGTCACACTAGCTGACTGACTCTCTTCTCGTTTCGCAGCTCCGCGATAAAAAAGCTGCGCGCAAGTTTTAATCTCTCTCTCTCTCACTCTCTAGCTAGAAGCATCGATCAAGGTCTTTAGAATTTTCGCTGTGGAGCATTATGGTTGGCGCGTTTTTGTATACTTTCTCGCGCGGCCCCGTGTATTAGAGTCTCGTAGCTCGGAAGTCGTTAATGAGTTAGAACGCGAGCTCGTAACATACGGAAGGCGCAGTACAGGCGCGCGGCGTATATCAGTCTACTATACGGATAAAGAGTCGACTTTTTTTGTCGCGACTTTTAGTGCGTATAGCGCGCACATTATATATTATGTACAGTAATTGCGACCGCGAAGGATCGCGAGTCGGCTGTTTGTTTTTTCATCTCGCGCAGGATATCAAGAGCCGTAATTGTACGGATTTTAAAGAAGATACGACGCATAAGATATGGGGAACGAGGATCTCATACATAAAACGATCTCTTTTTATTTTTATCTGGGTTAACGACTTGAAACGTATATAAATATTTACTCATTTTTTCTCCTATTTTTATCAGTCGCACAGGTGCAAAACTATCATCGTTTTATAATTTCTATTGTTCGTCGATTAGCAAATTCAGCGCCGAGAAATATAATACAAATCGGCTGAATCACGTGCTCATCATTTACAACGTACACGTATAAATCTTTTTTTTTGTGCATAATAAAGTACCCAGGAACACGTGAAATTCCAAGTATGAAGAATAACAGTTGCTCAATAAACTAACTCAGCGTTTTCGTACTGTCGCTATATTATGTGCGCGCGATATAGTGTGCCAGCAGCCGTGGCGCGCGAGTATAGTGATAGGCTATCGCGCACATGCACTTGCTCATGCGCGCGTAATGTCATCGCTGTGGAGTCGATCAATCACAAAAGAGTCTGACGTTGCACTGCAGCTCCACCTCCCCTTTTTTTATATGCACGTAAAAATAAAAAAACAATCGCGCTACATATTTCATCGACTTATATATCTCTGCAAAGGACAAATAGCTCCTACAAATGTATGTGAGAAAATATCTCCCTCTCTTTTGAAAATCTTCTCATTATTAGGAAACTTTATTTGATAATTGTGCAGCGTAGCAAAGGTATATATAAAAAAAACGCAGGCACCCGTAAGCGCAGCAACAATATCGATATGGTGTTTTTCACGTAGCCGCGTGCAGTAGTCGTAAATATAATACAGCTGCGTTGTGCCACAAATAACCATACACAAACATTACGTATTCGAATGGCCTAAGGGGTTGAGCGCTCGTGTATATAACTGGCCAGTATTGCATCGCTGCTAAAGATAATAATGCATGTTTTTGGGGCGCATTATATACCGTACGTTTTGTACGCCGCTGCAGCGTATGTGCGGGAGGGCAGGAGATCGAGTGACTTCGCAAATGCGAGTGCACCGATTGAAGGTGTTTTTACGCCGAGAGCTCCGAGGTATATCAGTATCGGAAACATTTGTTTCCGCGGCTATACTAGATTATTCATGCGCTGCACTCGTGCGAGTATATACATGCGTGTCCGTAGAAGTAGCATGTTATACACGCGCAGACTACTCTCGCTCGCTCCCCGAAGGTACGATAAAATTTACCAATCGTACTACTAAAAATTTGCCGTTGCTGCCGCTGCTTTTCCGCATATAATGCTTGCGAGATATCGTGCTATAAACGGCTGCGCGCAGATAACGGACTCGGCCCCCTTTTGCGCGCTTTTCGAATCGAGGCACCGACGAGCTCGATCTCCTCCGCGTACACGATGTTTACGTGCTTTTCCAGTAATTACGCGCGTTAAATGGATTATGTGCCGCCGCCGCCGCCGCCGCCGCTGCTGCTGTGCCCCATTGACTCGGATTTCACCTTGCCTATAACGTATCGCGTAACTTTTCATGCGAAATATGGCCGATGGAAAATGTGGAATATAAACTTTTGCTGTTTAGTAATTTTACCACCCGCACCCGTGCGCCCGTCGTATACTTCGATCGATTGTATCTCTATTATAAAAACTACAAGTACGACAAGGTGCTCTTTAATTTTCATCTAAAATGCGTTGTAAAATTTATAAAAAATAATACCTTTAAAAATGTGCATTATTATGCCTTTTGTGTTGCTATAGCCGTATAATGCAGTTCGCGTTATGGAGCTCATGTAATATGCGCAAACTGATACACATAGCGCTAATGTCGCTGCATGACTCTAGCCCAGTGTCGATTATAGTAATCAACTCTCTTTTTTTTTTGCATTAATGCGAAACATGCAAATTTATGCTAAATACGAATGGCTAACGCGTGAACGGTAATTCCTGCTATTCAACACTAACGGCAGATAATATTCATTACGATAATTTTAACAAGAGGTTTTTTTAGAAACATACTTCAAAGCCGTTCCATCTATTTGTTTCACCTGCGTATTCAAAATAAATCATCACAACTTTTGTAAAAAAAAATGGAATATAAGTAAATTTGATTGGGTGTCATCATAAAATTTCACAAATATGGCTTCAAGTAATAACTGATTTTATTAATTACTAATTACATATATTTTTCAGTCTTTGTGTTTTTGATGAAAACGACAAGAAACATTGACTACTTTTCACTTGTACAACAATTTCTCCAACTTATCGATCAATATGTTACATTATAACAAATATGCGTTTGAATAAGAAAAATTAATTATTTAACAAACTCCATGCAAAGTCTAAGAATTGGAGATTCCGTACGGTATCGCTAGCAACCTCTTTGACAACTTCTGGTAATTCATAACCATAATAAGTAGAGGGAACTTTTTTAGGTCCATTCAATGCTGGATCTCTAGCTCCATCTAATCCAGGTTCACCCAAAGGTACGAATTCGAATTCTTCTGGATCTTCGGGTTTTACTCTTTTTTCTGGCGTGAAATGAGGCTCAAATACTTGTTCGAAAGCAGGTGCTGAGGCATCGAGATGATTGTTTAGTGGTCTATCATATGAGGTCCTATAGGTCCTTGCTTCTGAGAATTGTACATTTACAATCAGCGCAGCTGCAATAAATCTGCAACGACATACATACGTTTTAGCGAAGTTTTAATCAATTTAAAAATTATTTTTTCAAGTTTCTATTGCCTCGAAAGAGAAAAAACAATAGAATGCAAGTAAACTTACGCGATAGTCAGCTTCATGGCAAAACTGTTACTATTAACGGACGGCGGGACGAGAAGAGCTGCTCTCGAATTCACAAAGCGAACTGATGCTGATGAATCTGAAAATTGCTCTTTTATATACATACTCTTGTATCAACTAGTTATAGCCGTTCACTCAAAAAGTATCATTCACAGGATGTGACACACTGGAATAATCATTCTTCACGCTTCGATTGCGTGAATCAACTGTTAACTAAATTTGGACTCTATTATCATAAATACAAAAGTAATATGATAAAAATATTAATTTTTAAGATTGATATGCCCCAGCTAAGTCTAATTAAAAAAATAATTACGTGGTCAACAATGCCTGTAATAGTTTTGCATATTTAAATTATTTATGCGGTAACTTTCATAAAATTACCCACGCTGAATATATTATACTCATAAAACTACTGTGGGTTTTTGCACTTTGGAAACAAGATGCAATTTTCGATTGTTCGTGATTTTTTCCCAAACTATTTGTGACGCTGTAGTCTTCTGCGAAACTCCGATCGAAAAAACTCATTTGCGACATTCCTACTCTCAACCGTCCTTTCAAAAATTTACACTTCGGTGCCTCTACTTTGAGTGTAATTATAGATGAACACACAGACAAACACACACACACGAAGTAGAGCAAGCGGCTCGCTTCTCTACCATATATACATTTTTAAGCCACTACAAGTGCTTCCCTTTCGCTCTTTTTTGTGTGCAGATGTGCCAATGGCACTGAAGAAATTCTGTTAAATCCCATGTACATGCACGAATGCAACTCGCTGTTTTCAAGCGCGCGAGTAAATGTTATTGCATTAATACATGAGTACATGCATGTTGGTATATATGGCCGAACGCGGCCCGATTTTTCATCTCTAAAATCATAATTCCTTACAGGCTGGGAGTTAATTGAGCGTAAGTCTCTGAGATGCTTACAAACGTATCTTTAGTTGCAGCTATGCAGCCAATGTTAACAAGTGTAATTTAGCTTCAAATAATAAAAATCACGGATTTACATTGGTTTTCACAGTATTTAAAAAGTGAAACTAAATCATACCCCGCACGCCTGTGTGTTATCTGGAAAAATCTTGCCAAGATTGACTCATTCGATTTTAAAATCATGAAATGCTTTCATATTCTGGCTAACGATCTTGCTCTTTGCAGTGGGTTTTACGAATGTTCGAGCTCTTAGATCGCGTGATTTTGATACTATAAGTGCATTAAACTTGTGCTGATGCGAAGATACAGTTTTTACTTTCCATTCATTCCTCGATAGTTGTTTCTTCGAACGAGAAGCGCCGTAATCATTGAGCAACTTTTAATATTTTGAGGTGTGAAAAGATGCACTGATTAAAAAAAATACAAGTTCGCCATTTAACAGATACATATTTTTCAGATTTCATAACTTTACTGCCATTTAGAATATAAATAGTAAATTAGAATATTTGCATTAAATTAAACTAGCTTTTTTTCGCCACTGCTTAATTTCATGACATTTAAAAAAATGTTATAGCTCCTGCGTAAAAATAGAAGCAGTAGGAGATTTATGGTCAAAAGCTTGGATGATTCTATTGTCAATGTACTTGCAAAATATTGGAAACAATTTTCCCCGTGTATCATCTTTAGTCCTGCGAATGCGCGTGATGTAATATTTTCTCTATGTACTATAAATAATTAGTCTTGTATATTATATTAATAATTTATGGGAGGCATAATTTTAATACGGCCCTTATAGGCATTCATCTATGATCGATGTTTATGCATGTACACAATTTTTTTCTCAATTTTATTGATTTTATGAAATGTCTGAAAAATATCATAACAAGTATAGAAAGAAATGTGTTCATATACTGCTCCACAATTTGAATACAGTTGGAAATTAAAACGTTTGTTTCGACTTACCACATGATGTCGTTTTTAGACAGAACCGTTCCCGCAAGCAGAAAAATTAGTTGTATTGTTATATGAACCAGTTCATTCAGTTTCAATATGTTTCATTATGTTCATTTTTAATTGAAAACATGTATTCAATTATTTTTTTTAATTTTGTAAAGGTACGACAGCTTCCTCCGAGGTTGCTGCTATTCTCAAGCCCTAAATAAGCCCTCAAAACCTTTAACATAAAGGATTCTTTTGAAATCTAACGACAAGTAATATTCATAATATTGACATTATAACTATTGCAGTTCTTGTCCACTGTGCACTTTTATGCGGGATCTAATCAAAATACTGCAATCAAAAATAAACATCATTTTGAACCATATATTATATGACGTGCTTTAATATACCTCGAGGTTGCTGCAATTGCTACTGTCGGTACAGCAGAGGCATTACGAATTACAGGCTCGTGAGTTTGTTTCAATTTATAATGGTGGAGTTGTAATGCGAATGTACGATCGCTTACGCACGATTCACGCACATTAGAATCAGTAAGTCACTGTTTATGTTCAAGATGTCGCTCTAATCGCAGCTCCCAAGGAAATTTCAGCAAACTAGCGGCTAAGAAGCTTGCACGAGTATATATCTCTTACCTGGCGCTGTGAAAACTTTAAACCCCTCGCTCTGGAAGTTCGCAAAACTTGGTCCAGAGCTGAGCCGAGGGTGGCGAAAAATTTAGATTAATTTTATCAAAAGGAAGAGATGCGCACATGGAGATATAATATTTTATTCATGAAAATGAGCAAAAAACATATGTGCGCCACGAGAGGGTGAATGAAATTAACTGCTCAACTTGAGTATATACCTTTCTCCTCTCAACGCAGCGATGAGACGGCTACGATAACGCGGCAAGTCAACGTCTTGGCGTAGATGTGCTGTATTTATAGTTGTTTTTTTTTTCGTAATTAGAGATGTTGATGCGCACTCGACTGGCGAAAGCTAATTATACCATAATGTAGGCATCTCGTACTTGATCCGTAGTTTCAGCGAACGCGGCTAAAACTTTTAATTAGTATAGTTCGTTTTATTTCACATATCCATCTTGTGTCGCGGATAAATGTTGATACAGTAATCGGATAATTATGCCTCGTGAAAATCAAACGCGTTATATTACACCTTTAAAAATAAGGATTAGATGGTAATTATAAAATTCACGAAATGCATTAAAATGCGTGAGGTGAGCTGCAGAAAAATCCGCAAAAGGAGATGAGGTGCTATGATTACATTAAAAATTTGTTAGGATAATTAGTTTACTAGAGGTTGAATATAAATTCACTTTCACTGACGAAAAAGTAATTTGATGCTCTTTTAATGAGCCGTTAAATGAAAAAGTATATTACGTCATTTCAATTTCATATCTTGTATAATTTTTTTTTCTTTTTACAAAACTCTATTATTTTTACTCGAAGCGCAATCTTCAAAAGCTAAACAATGATCGTCAGAGAAATAAACGATGTCAAGTTGACAATTAATTTTCCAGTATTAAACATATTTCACCAAATCCTTCGTGACATTTTGGATTTATCTCACAATCATCCGGGAAATATGAACTGTTTCAATGGTGCAGAGGAAGCATGGATCGTTACAAAAGTGTTACGGTCGTAGAGCTCTCCGTTGTACAATATAACGAAAAATTACAGCCATTAACCTGCGAGTATTTATTCAATTCAATATCACTCGTATGAAGCTGTGCGTGTTCGTTCGCCGTGCGTCTCATAAAAAAAATTAAATGATGAATTTACGGTTGAGCGCCTTTCGAGAACATAAATCAATAATCAGGCTACATGATTAATTACTCGCGCGTAATAATGGGCGTTAAAAACGAAGCGGAATCGTGCTTATTATTTTTCACTCGAAGCGTATTTCCGAGGGCCACGCGAAGCTTCTATGCAGAGCCAATCAGAGGACAATTGGCTTTTTTCATGCGTTTGTGTTTGTGCGATTGTATCACTCGGTACAGAGACATCGCGGATGATGTGACACCATTGTGGGGTGCGGGAGAATCCAATTATTCGGAAAGCGTACGAAACTGTTAAATCAGACAATATGTACTGCGTGCTGCATCATAGTTATGTAGGATCAATAATACCGTACATTTTTGCACGAGAATATTGAACTTTTCAAGTTTGAAACTAATTTTATCCACTCAATCCTGTTATCGTTTTACGATAATTTTAATATTTTACTAACTATGAATAATATACAAAAGTAAATTGTGCAATTGCGGAGAAACGTGCTCTCTCAAATTCAGAAATTTGATATTCCAAGTCCGACCAAGAGCAAACTGAAATTGTCTATTTTCATATCGTAAATCAAATACAAAGCTATTTGCGACTCGCAAATAGTTCGCTATTGGCTCAATGAAAACATTTTTTTGAAATCTCGGAAGCAAAAACTACATTTTCCGCGCTGCACATGCTATACACACGCGTTGTATGCACTACATATACATAGAATTATATTCCGGCGCGGCGTAAAGTACGCAGGTATGCGACGCTCATCGTCGTAAATTAAATTGTGCTCGAGTAAAGCCGGCGTTTCGGGAGTAAAACTTATTTTCTTTCATACATACGTGCAGCGGGCTAAAGGCTCATGAAAAATAGCCCGACGCTCGCTACGAGCCTCGCAAGGATAATTTTATCTCGGCCCGAGTGTATTTATGCTAACGCCATGGATACGTGCTGCCCTTACGGTAGTTATATGCTATCACATTTCATCTGTGGCTTGAGAATTCTCAATTGTACCTGAGATTGGCACGGGGCTACATTACTTGAATTTCTATGCTGTCATAACACTTGCTTTAGATGACTGAAACGATTTTTGCGGGCACATAAATTTTTTATTTCTTGAAACGAGTAAGCGACACACTATATGAATACGTCTGAATTCACCATTTTCAGTCATCAGCATGCGGAATCGTAAAATTAACATTTTTTAATTATCAAGGGTATAATTTAGTTTTCAAAATTTATTAAATGTATTAAATGAAATTCTCACTTAAAATGTACTGTTAAAATGAAATGTTTATTTAAATTCGTATAACTGCTGCACGCGTATCGCGCGTATACGACACATTGACAAAAAGCCTCAATAAAATATTCAAAGCTTCAAATGCGGCTTAAACTGCAATTCAAATTTTGTAACTGCCTCGTGCCAAGAAGGCAATAAGCAAGTGGAAACGTTGTATTTTTTGCAATTATGCGAGACAACAAAGACGTCACGCCGGTGACAACGTCAAAGCGAATCACAATTTTAAATTTTGACACGCCTCTACGAGTGTGCAGTAGTGTTGACGCATAAATATACAACTGCCGCTAAAACTAGGAGATATCTATGTACAGGCATAAGAGTACATATATTGTTAAGGGCGTAGCCAGGGCACGTGTCCTTTTCTCTTGAATAAATTCCGTTTGATGTACGAAAGCGTATACAAATGCAAATAACTCGCGCATGCAGAGTTTCATGTAGTTGCTAAATTCTTCAATATCCCTCTTTTAAGCATACAACAAACACTTAGTTCTTAAAACCTTCAACTGCGTCGAATAGAGCTTTGCAATGCAGTTGGAAGAAAAATTTTGCGAATGCAAGTTCAGGGCGCGCAGAAATAGGCAACCTCGAGGGATTTTCAAACAGTTACTGACGCAGAGACTGATACAATATATATTTGAGCTGTAAAATTGACGCGACTTTTGAAAAGAATAAAAGTTATAACATTAAAGAAAGTTAAAAAATCGATCCAATTATAGATTATGTATATATTGAAAATAACAAAGTTTTTGAAAATACGTGATCACAATTTTTTAAACTTTCTTGCTCATACAAAAAGATGACCTGCTTCCCATGCTGAATACAGCTTTTTCTCAATTATTAAGTCAAATAATATAGCACTAAAAATGAAAGTTCTTTAAAATATCTCGCAAATCTGAAGTAAAATAAAAACTGAAAAGTTCAGTAACAAAGAAGTTCAATACAACTCCCAAAGTACTAATTAAAACAGTAGTTAAACTTAATTAATATTTACATTATCTTTGTCAATTGAAACAAAATGATTACTTCTTTGTCAGATAATAAATCATATAATAATAAATTTCTAATTAAGTATACATGTTATTCAATAAATAAACTCATAAAGTTGTAATATTTCGGTTTAATATTCAACCTAATAGAGTAAATTATAAAATTAATATCGTGACGAATTAATTTAATCGACTAAGAAATGAAGTATAAAAGCAAAAGAAATGGCTCCAGAGGGGATCGAACCCACGGCCTTCGCGTTATTAGCACGACGCTCTAACCAGCTGAGCTATGGAGCCGTTAGAAGAGGGTTTCAAATTGAGGTATTTGAAACTACGGTTCTTATTTGGTAGCAATGAGTTCTTTTAATTATACTTAATGAGTAAAATTCAATTCAAGTAGTCAAAACTCGAGATTTTTTTTGCTCATATGATATATTACACTATTAAAATAATACGTTCATCTTAAAATATAATTTTAATTGTAAAATACATTAAATAACAATCCTTACATGAAATTAAAAATTGTTTTGCTTACCTTTGAATGCCTGCATTACTTGTTGATTAAATGCCCATTATTACGAGTGTTTAAAATCTATCTTTCATTGTAATCCCCTCAAACTTTAGCCAGAAACTTTTGTGTAATTAAACAACATTTATGGACTTTTTTAATAACTTTAGGTCTTTTAATTAATTACAATGTTATATTTTCCGTTTGAGATATTAATAAAAAAAAAATAGGTGTACAAAGCAAAAGAAATGGCTCCAGAGGGGATCGAACCCACGGCCTTCGCGTTATTAGCACGACGCTCTAACCAGCTGAGCTATGGAGCCGCCGATATCTAGTTGACCAAAATAATCATACACAATCTTTACGAGATCAACTGACCTTATAAAGATAAAAATTTTTTACCTGTGAGCGTAAGTTAAAACAACGATCGTAAAATTGATGAATTTGAAGTCATATCATGGTACGTGTACCTGAATTGAGTGTAAAGCACGAAACAATAGTTGAAATTTATGTAAGTCAAGGGAAAAAAGTAATATCTATTTTCTAAAAAAAAATAATAAAATCTTCAAGTATTAAAGTATAAATTCCTAGCATTCTATGATCGTAGACTTTATAGCTGTATGTTACATAACATTTCTGCGCTCCCCACCAACGGCTCCATAGCTCAGCTGGTTAGAGCGTCGTGCTAATAACGCGAAGGCCGTGGGTTCGATCCCCTCTGGAGCCATTTCTTTTGCTCTTTCCGGTTTGACTATCATTATCATCACAATACGAAACAATAGACGAGATATTGCAAATAAGATTGGATGCAATGTTTAAATTTTACAATCAAATATTTGGTATTGAAAAAACTCAAAAAAATTTTCCAAAAAATACTCAGTCTGTTATAGATTTTTCTTTATTAATTATAGGATTGACTCATAAAATAAATTAGAATATACTCAAAACCGATTTATGCAAAATAATAATCCACATAATTGTATCATATTCACTTCAATAACCATCCAATTTCGTTTAATGCAATATCTCGATGAGCATGACACATGCATCCGATGCAGACGCTTTGAACTTCACAGAGAAAATGCTAATGCGAGAGCTCACAGCAGCAGCGGAGTGTCTTCGTTTCAATTCATAAATTTTACTTCTTCCATAAGCTCTGTGCAGCGCCGTATATACATAGGCGCACTCGTGCAATCACCCTTCCACTTGTTGAAGGCTGCTTCGGGTCTGCTTAACATAGCCGAGCTGCAGCCAAGAGCTCTTCCGACCGCTTGCATTAGAATTTATTGCTCTTTGAGCTTACTTTTCGCGTTATATGACAAATTTCGTATGATTTCTGCTTCCACATTGTGCAGAGCCTGCAGGATATTTTAGCATAGCTTGACTTGTATTTCCATCTTAGATGAACGAATTTATTCATACCATTTATTCTGAAAAAAAAAATATATTTTGCAATTTTACTAAATTCTTTTTTCCTGAAATTTTGTTTATAGGGTGCAAGAATGACGATGGATCTGCTGTAGAATGGTTAAAGAAAGGAGTCGCTGAGATGATTGGAACGGCGATAATCGTTTTTTTGGGCTGTTTGGGGTGCGTCGGAAGCTTGGGGACCGCTCCTACACATCTTCAGATCTGTTTGAGTTTTGGATTTGCTGTTATGATAGCTATTGTCGTAAGTCAATCCTTTCAATTCTATCAATCCTTTTTTCCCTTGATTTATCAAAATATGATGATCTCATGTATCGTTGGAATGAAACAAAATCTCGATTTTCAGTGCACGGCTCATATAAGTGGTGCTCATTTGAATCCTGCAGTCACAGTTGGAACTATCGTTTGTGGATATACGTCCTTGGCATCGGCTGCGGTTTACATCATAAGTCAAATGGCTGGAGGTGTATTGGGATACGCATTACTAAAGGTATTATGATGAACACTGTATTTTTAATCGATGTAATTTAAAAATATACTTGAGAAAAAATTAAGCTCACTGACTTACAACACATTTAATCATTTGTTTCGTGATACAATTATGACATTAAAAGTAATAAAAATAGTACGAATTTTTTATTTAATTTTTATTTATTTAATAGATAATAACCCCACAAAATCATCTGCATGGAGGAGATCCAAACACAGCTGCAGGATTTTGCGCGACTCTTTTGCATCCTCGAGTCTCAATACTGCAAGGTTTCTTCAGTGAAGTCATAGCAACTGGAATATTGGTATTCATGGTTTGCTCCATCTCGGATTCTCGTAATTCGCGCAATACCGATTCTGTAGCCATCAAAGTCGGCTTAGCCGTTGCTGTTCTATGCTTCGGATTTGTACCCTACACAGATTGCAGTATGAACCCAGCAAGATCTTTCGGACCTGCCTTGATCAATAATTTATGGACCGACCACTGGCTCTTCTGGTTTGGACCTATGGTAGGTGCCTTGCTCAGCTCGTTACTCTATAAAACCTTATTTATGCCCAACCTCAAAGAACAAAGAACTATTACGCCAGAAAACGGAGTATAAGGAAATTTTCTTCTAAGTTAAAATTGCGAAAAAAATTATAAATTTTATCGTTACGTTTTATAAAAAAATTTAAATTCTGTAGCACTTAAATTGATCAGAGAATTATGACTACAGAAAAGTATTACTGTATTTACGAACGAAATACGATAACTTCATGAGGAAGATATAATTTTATGATTCGTTTATTGAAGATCCTTTATTTAGATGAATTCTTAATTATTATAATTAAAAATCAAAAGTAATCCGATACAAAATACAACTCTAAAAGTTTTATTGCATTCATTATGGGTTTTCATGTTTTATAAGAAATTGTATCGACTCTTATGTATATTTACAATTAAAATAATTACTGTTGATATTTTCCATTATTTCATGTATGAATGTATTTAAAAAATCATACCGAATTTCATTCAAAAATGAGATGAAAAACAGTCTGTGATTTTATTAAGAACTAAGAATGAGTTGAAAAATTTCTACGAAAAAAGTATATCACTTATGTTAAATCTTTGACATTAAATGTAAGATAATAGTGTTAGTAGTATAAGGATGTGTAATATATAAGCTTTTATATCGAATTATTTCATAAAACAACTTTACCATTATTATCAACTTTATAATTTTCAAAGATCACTATAATCAGCGAAATGAGTGTCTTTTTACCATTATATTGTACCATCGCGTATTATAATCGGAATGAAATTTTTATAAAAATGTTAAGCTTGATGAATAGAAAAAATGTAAAAATTAAAATTTTATTCATGGAAATATTATTATAAGTTTCATTATTTATTTGAAAAGTTTTTATCAATGTATATTGCCAATTTATTGCAAAATATTTCAATTTTACACAATTCAATGCCCAAAAGAAACAAGATTGAAGAAAACCGTATAAGCGACTTTCAAATGACCTACAATGACAATTTACTGTTTAGTAAAATTTAAACCAGATTTCAACCACTTCAATTCGATACTGTTACTTTAAGTCTCTACCACTAGATGGCGAGTACCTTTACATATGAATCTGCAAGTGGCAAAGTAAAAATAATTGTATAAACCAAATCACTGTCAACTTTTTTTAATTAAGCTGCCTCTTGTCAGAAAAGAAAAAGTTTTAATTGTGTTAGTTGAACAATTCGTAAGGTAGGATTTTCTTACTTACTCTAAGTGCGGACTAATAAACTTGGATATTTCCGTTAAACTGCGGTTAGATGCGTATCTCCAACCTTCTTTAAAGAGTTTTTATACCAAATTTTAAGCTCCATTTTCGATTTTATTATACTTTTTTTTTACTAAATACTTTTTTGAAACTACTCAATACGTGGAAATACTGAATGTCTCAATCAAATTGTTGAAGGCTTTATAGCATATTTATAAATTATCATTCGCAATATTTATGATAATTTCAGGCATGGAATATTTAAAAAGTACAAAAAGAATTTATTCGCTCCCTTTTTTATAATAGTAAAATATTTTTAAAAAATTGTAATTTATCATAATTTATCAGTATCTTTAAGAAAACAGTTTCCAGTATTCTAACGATAATATTGGTTTTAATTAAATAATGATGAAATACATTAGAAATCATAAAAAGTATTATGACAGGTAATGCTTTAGAAAAAATTGTTGACTCTCAATGTATCACGGTGACACAAACATTGGAAGAATTAGTTTTTTTTACTATCATCAAGTCTGTGGCTCGCCGATCATTGATTTTTTCGACCAAACAAACTGTATACTTTGTAGGAACGAAATATGTACCAGAGGCAACGGTAAACATGGAAAAAAACAAATCGAAATTTTTAAGAGAAAGATACGAGCCTACAGATTATTAAAAAAATATATATATTTTCAAACAGCCTCGCCTCTTTTTATCACATACAAGCATTTCTACACCGTTGATACGTCATCGGCTGATACGAGTTTTTTTTAACGCACACGAATTCGAGTCCGCTGAAAATATCGTTTTAGCGGTCTTGTCGAAGAGACGAAAACGTGTTCACAAATACATTCGGGTCCCTCTCTCGTACATGTAGTGGAGGGAAGGGGTCAAGCCGCTCGAGCGCCAGTTATATATCCCCCAAGAAGTTTGACAACTTTTTACGCTAAATATAAACTTCCCGAGGCGGCGGCGGTGCAAGAGTCGCTCCCACCTCGATGTACCGGCCACTATCCGGGCAATATTATAATCCACGTGTTTGAGTACCACTACCATTTTCGCACGTGTGCTACTGCTCCGAGCGTCTCGTCGCTACTGCACATACACTATACTGACCACTACCACTAAAACTACTACTACTACTACTACTACTACTACCACCGAGGAGGAGTACGAGTTACGAGTTCGCGCGTATATATATTTGTTTCTGCGGCACATAGCAACAACGACGACGACGATCCGGAGGCGTGTGTGCGTGCGCCACAACTTTCGCGATGTACGAGCCCATTGTGCCTCTTTAGTGCCGAAGGCGCGCGCCGAGCAGCCGGTCGTCTGTTTCGTATTTGTGAGCCGAGCCAGCCAGTCTTATATGTAGTCGCAGTGCTGCATATCATCTACGGAGAGACGCGCCGCAAACTTTTGTGTGACCCTGACTTTGCTGCTGCTGCTGCTGCTGCCACCGCCGCCGCCACCACCACCGCTACGTATAAAGACCGAGCCGATCGATCGGTGTGCGCGCGCCCCCGCAACCTCCAGGGGCTAGAGTTCTCGCTTTTATACCTTTTGGTCTACTGAACTCGTTTTCGGCAGCAAGTCGCGCTCGTATTCGCAGACATGTCTTCGTCCAGTGATATTCCTTCCAGTAAGTTCAAAAGCTTTTGCGCTTCCAGATATCGCCTTTTTTATCAATGTCATTATTGTGCACTTGCGAGGCATTCATTTCATTCATTTCCAAAAATTACTTGAACTTCGGTCGAAATTCTAAACGTATGCAAAGTCGAAAGCGATCAGCCGTACGAATGCGGAAAACGCGCTTGACTTATATATTATTCACGCGTTTACTTGACGTTTGACCGCTTTTTTTCCAAGTTTCGCCTTGTATTTTATTCGGAAATTTGAAACGCATGTATAATTTTTGCATAACATCAACCCGCAGTCTCTGCTCGCTTTTTCTTTGATCATTTCGATTACTGTCTATTTAAACATGGCAAGGAAGCAATAAAAAAGCTACGAACATGCAACCGAATCGGTTGTATGATAAGTGTACATTTGATAGTTACATATCTATGTAACTCGCTGCTATTGATTTTTGTTTCGACGTCCTTCAACTTTTTGCTACTCGGTGCATTGTGAACATTCATGTTGTTGTAGATCGACATCGTTATGAATACTCATGATTTACAACAAAAAAAGGATACTTATCATCTTGATTCAACCGCGTCATTGGCAGAGATAAAATTTCTGCATCTTCGACCTAGCACCATAAATAATTTTTCATGATTTATTAGGAAACTCGGAAAGCATGATCTCTCGACTCTTTAGAACTCTTTTATCAAAGTTATTCTTGTTTATCGTCGATTTCTGCAATTTTCAAATGTGTTCAATTTTATTATCAAGTTTAAATTTATTAAACTTGATATTAAGGTTATCGGTAGTTCAAAAATAGTTTATTGGTTTTTTTATTTTAGTTGCTCTGCTCAAATTATTCTGAAAATATGTCAATCCATATGATTAAAAAACTTTTTCTCGTCTTTTTGAGTAGCATACTTACAAATTTCAAAACTCATCGTTTCATACTAGAAAAAACATCTGAACTAATATTTATTTTGCAAAAAATGATTACGATTCACCTGAAAATGATATTATGAGTTGAAATTCTATGCTGATCGTCGTTTATTAGTAACATTAAAATTTAACGGCATCGAAAGCTTTGAATATTCAGTACAATAAAATCCTCTATTATAGCCTTTGAAATATTAGCTGGGGGTAACTTCTCATTACTTTTAACCAAGATGTAATTTAAATAATATTAATTTCGCATTCAAATTACTCATAATTAAAAAAAAGTTGCAAAAAATGATCTTTAGGTAGAATAAAAGTCAAATAAAAAAAATTCCTTTTGACAATAATAATTTGATTAATAGTTCTTAGAAATAATTTGTGTATAATTACTAAAAAAAAACGATATTATTTTCGCGTGCAATGCTCAATGGCCTGCACATAAATGAGATAAAACTTTTGTAAACATATTGAATAATCTTCAGCTAACAGTAAACTACATATAAAACCAAACAATCGAATGAATATTTATCTCTTGATTTTTTCAATCCATTGATAATTTTGTGTGGATTTGAAATAAATATTGGATTTATTTTAAAAATTGTAGAAATCGTACACATGTTAGCTATTCGTTTAACAAGGAAAAATTATTAAACATAAGAAATTATTCTTCACAATGGGTTTATCCGTGCGTTTAATTGATAATAATTATAATGATAATGCGGTGATTCAATTTGTTAATTGAAAATATTAAATTCATCTTTTGTGAACAGAGTTGCCGCGATATCGGACAACAGTATCAAATGGTCACTCAAAGATACGGTCCAAATTCAAGCTTTATCAATATTGTTTTTCTTCCAAAGATAAATATCAAAAAAATAAAATATGATAAAAAAATCAGCTCATTTCCTTCTAATGGACAAAATTGTTCGACCGCAGATGATACGGATCAATAATCAATCAAGCTTTCGCACTTAATACATGTTATTAAAATAATATTTTACAATATTCCAAAGTTAAATCCGAATGCTATGTAACAAATTTGCTTCAAATACTATCTCCAGAATGATAAATAAAGCGAACAGGCTTAATTTTGATAAGACAATAATACTAAATAATGCAAATCTCCCTATAATACGATACGAATATACTGGGTAGGGAAGCCGAAATGATTGAGCACTCGAACTGAGCATAGCGCTCTCCGTGAGATATACATTTCTGCATTTGTGCATTTCCATACTAAGCCGATGAGAATTGTGTATACTAACATATGCGCAAATTCTCGTTTGTAATTCAAGTTTTTCTTCGAGTGACCTCTATTAATTACCGATATACATTTAAAATGAATGTTTTCATGAATAAAATGTTTATATTGGAAATATTGTCTTTTTTAGATTTCATCTATAGCTATTGATTTTAAAAGCTGCGGAAAATTTCTTTATATACGTATTTATATTCATTATTTTGTAATATCCAGAAAAAGCATGAGTGTTCAAGTTTCGTAAAGTTTAAAAATATCTACATGTTTTATGCAACACATATGCACATCAGAGCAAAGTTCAATCTTTATCTAGTTTGTTTTAGACATGTTGTAGGCAAATCGAATCAAACAAGAATAAGACGCACGCATGATTTATTAAAACTCTCACCTTCCCACCTTCTCACAGATATTTTTAGATTCTCATTATGAACTCTACAATTAAATTACAAGAGTATGTAGCTGGTAATGAGCAGCGATACAATTATAAGAATGTGTAAATTGATGACTGTATTATCGTTTGTACCACCAGCGGTCGTGACTTTTTATTATTCTTGAAATGAAAAATATTGTTATTTGAGATTTTTGCAAATATTTTTAGTTTTTAAAACAACTATTCTATTCTTATAATAAAAAAGATACAAGGTGATATTTCAGAACTTGAGAGACTGTTCAAATGTTTCAAATTTGATGCTCAAAAACGTTGGGTAAATGAAAAAGAAATAAATGCATCACAAGAACGAGTAATAATAAAAAAAAGCCAATTTTTTAGATAGCCACATCTTGCCAGTAAAAGATTAATCGAGTATCAGTAAAAGATAAAACGATTTAAAGTTTACAGCTATAAATTTGCCAATGATCCGAATGATTTTATCCGCACTATTGAAGTTTTCCATGTGAAAGTACACGAAAATCGATTAAAGATATCGCACTCATGTTTGCACTAAAACATCTCGCTTCTGTAATACCGAATAATTTCTCTGCGAGAGTTACGCTAACCGAATAAGATAAGGATCCATGCATAAAAGTATAGACTGTAAACGTGTGTGACTGAATACGTCTCGATTGGTCTTCGGGAAGAAAGCCCCATTGCTAAACAATTTATTTCCGCTGTACGAATGTAGTTGCACACAAAGGAGGTTAATTGCCACGGCGTGGATGAGACAGATTAAAACTTTACGCATAATAGGGCAAAATTGACGGAAGTTGTCGCAAGACAATTTTGCCAATGACAGAAACGGCATAAAGTTCGCGTAATGACCGCGACGCGTATTGACATATGTTGCCTAGCGGATCCATAATATCTTATTCAACGAAATTCAGGAGAGAAAGTCGTGGGTCAACAAAAAATAAAAACAGTTTACAATTTTGACAAAAATTATGAACTTCACAAGATCATATATATATTAAATTTGAAAATTATAAATGAGCTATCAAATACTGTTATTTAATAACATATCTCGTCAGATTTTGTAATTTTTATCTTGTATGAAGTAAACTATATGAATTATCATTATTTCAGTTAGTTGTTCAGTAAACAAGTTATATTTTCGTAATAAAATTGACATTTACAATCAACTAACGCATTCGACACGGACCCATTTGATAAATTGATTCATGAATGAATAAATATGGGAGGAAAATAGATTCTCACTCATTGCTATTTATTTTGCACGCCTTAGTAGCTAGTAATTTAAAATGCATGAATTGAGCTTGAAAAAGTTATGTCATGCAGATATAGTAGCAGTAATCTCATATTCAATGTATATCTGAGTGTAATAGCGCTGCCTTATTAATCGCGCAGATCTTAGGCGCTTTCGAAATCGCTGATTGATTATTTGATACATATTGTATCTACGACCCATTTTCATATAGTTTGGAGTAATCTAATTTTCTTGAGTTAAGCTATGTAAGCATCGTAATGTGAAATGAGCACCGAAATCAAAAAATTGTAAAAATGAGAAATATTTCAATTTTTTTTTTGTTTTTTTTTATCATAAAAAAATCTTTGAGGAAATATTTATTTCAAAATTTAAATTTATTCATAGCTTACTAATATGCAATGGCAATTTTTAAACGCCTTAAAAACTTGTACAATGAAGAGATATCTATAAATTATTGTATCGACACAAGTGTTCATTGAATAATATCGTCGACCAGCTGTACAGCAGTCAGCAGAAAGTTACCGAGTGCTCCGAATGTTTCGCAAAAATTACATTATTCTGACTTTTTAATCTTGAACCAGAAAAATTTGTAAAAATGAGTAAGGTTTCTATAAGCTTCAAACTTTAAATATGTAACTGCGATCAGGATACAAGTTTACAAGCTCAAAGAGCTTTGCATTTTGGCTTATTTGGGTTAAAATTTAATTTTTAGAAAGTTGTCTCTGTAGTTTTTGCAAATCACTAGTTTAAAATGAGACTTGTAAAGAGTGTAAAAAACAATATTAAATAGATTCATGGGTAGTGTGACATCAATGCATAAATCGCAATATTTTCTTGAATCTTGCAAGCATCGTTAATTAAATAACCGGCTACTTAATAAAATTTATGAATATTAACATCGGTTCGGAAAATAACTATCACTTATTGAGTACATTCTAAGACCAAGTGTTTGGAGTGTCTCGTACTTTTGTAATTTTCATGCTTGCAGTTATGTCGTAAAATGTTAATTTATTCAATATTAAATGTAAGAAGGTACATGGAATATTAGCAAATACTGTTTTATAATAAAAGATTAAATACGAGCTCAACTTACTTCATTTTAAACTCTAATCAGACATAATCGAATTATTCGGAAAGTAGAATTCAAGCGCTGCAAAATTTTTTCTAAACTATATAAAATCGATAAGAAACATTATGCTAAACTACACAATAAAGAATGAAAAGGTTTCAAAAACTAAAGATAAAATAGTTTATTATCAAGTTAATATTGTATTTTTAACGACATTAAACATTTTTTCGTTTAAATATTAAAATTTTTTTATTAAATACCGAATTTTAATCAACTTTTCAGGATTCAAAAAGATGGTGAAAGGAAATACTTACCGAGAGCAGGGCATCGTAGCTCTTGCTGAAATATTAGGCACTGCTACCCTAGTGTTTATAGGATGTATGGGGTGCGTAGGAGGATTACTAAATGTTGGTATTCCCAGTCATATACAAATCACATTAAACTTTGGATTGGCAGTTATGATAGTTATTCAGGTAGATTTTACATTTTTATTTTATTAAAATTTTCAAATATTCTTAATATAATTATATGGTATTAAAATGAGATCATACTCTAATATTGCAAAAAAATTATTTTCCGCCTCATTCACAATAATGAAGATTAAAGAATATTAATTACTCTCGGTGACAAGTAGACACTTTAGTAACACGTGTATATAATGACACCAAGCAAATTTTATGATACGTCACTCACATTAAATTTAATTTATAGCACTGCGTGGCTAAAGTTCACGTTTAAGGCACGCTTTGCCATGACTTAAGCTGCTCATTATTGCATCGCGACGTGCCTATCGCACTCGCTACGCTCGTGCGCTAACCTCACACCGCGATGCTATTATGAGCACCTTATATCTCGCCAAAGGGGGCCTAAACGTGAATTTAGCACAGTGCTATAAAAAAACGTATGATACTTATGACTCAAGTAGCCCATTCTTGACACGGCACTAGCACCCTCGCTTCGCTCGGGTGCTAACCGTGCCGTGCAATAATGGCCTGCTTAAGTCACACGTATCATAATATACTATTTGCATACCCACAGTAAACCCATCATTGCGGATGAGATTTTTTTATGTACGGCAAATTATGGTTCACGAATAAAATATCAATTTCATTTGTAAAGTGAATTTCATAAAATAATTGAAAATCTCGATACTTTTTACTTTTTTAAAATAAAAATTCAATTTTTAATATTGTACTTGATCTAAATAATTTGTTTCAGTGCTTTGGACATTTAAGTCATGCCCATGTCAATCCAGCGATGACACTTGTTTCTGTGGTTTTGGGCATAAAAACAGTTAGGGAAGGTTTAGTATATTTTGTAGCGCAAACAATCGGAGCCATTCTAGGATTTGGTTTATTAAAGGTCAGTATTCATATTTGCAGAATGTTGTAATTTTGATAAAATCCAATGAAGTTACGATTCAAATGTTAAATATACTATACTTCCGCTTGTAGTAGTTTTCAAGTGTCAATAATGAAACAAACATAATAGGAAAACAATGATAAAAATTTATTTGAAGCGTACATATAAGATAAGTCGATTACGTTGACGGCCCCATTAGTGGTGCAATATAACGACCCTTGACATCATAAGAGCAAGTTTTCAACATTTTTAAATAATCTCATGTAGTACAAAACTTTAGCTCAATGTCACTTCATGCGTAAATCCATATGCTGATTAAAATCGGAAATGTTTAAAAGTTTTGGAATTTTTTATTAACAAGACTTGTTAGTTTATGATAAATATTTAAAATAACTTCTGAAACCTAAAAGTCAAGAGACATATAAAAAAATAATATTTTTCAGGCGGTAACACCTGCGGGCAGTCTTAGAGCCAATGCCAATGCAACTTTGGATACTTTCTGCGTAACGGATTTACACAGTGACGTCTCGCCGATTCAAGGGCTCTTAGTCGAGGGCATTGCCACGGCTATTCTCGCTCTCATAGCATGCGCCGTGTGGGACCCTCGCAATGCTCGTAACACCGACTCGACTCCCGCCAAATTTGGTTTGAGCGTCACAGCTCTGGCCATTTCGTGCGGACCTTACACGGGTTGCAGTATGAATCCAGTCAGAACCCTTGCACCAGCTATTTGGAACAATTACTGGGGCCATCACTGGATCTACTGGCTGGGGCCTTTTGGTGGTGCTCTCTTGGCGTCCCTTGCCTACAAAGTAATCTTCTCCGTTCAAAATAACGATAACGAAGATATGAATCTGCCAGAAAACGTTGCATTAAATAGCGTTGATACACATCAAGCCAAGGTAATTACATAAAGACGGAACTTTTACATTCAATAAAAATGTTATATTAACTAAAAAATTCAATTTCAGCATATGTAATCCTTATGTTGGATCATTGATTTCACATCTTGGAATTTTAAAAAACTGATGTCTCGAAAAGTGTGTGAAAACATTTGTTTCATCATTAATACTTCCACGTGTTCACAGTCGTAATAAGAAAAACAATTTTATCAACGTCAAAAAGTGAGCTTTTTGTCACAACACACAAACTAATTACGATATTTAGTATAAGATATTTATCAATAATGTTGTTGGAAAGATAGATTTTTTATTGTGAATATGTTGTTTCAATTTTAAAATGTAAAAAGTGATTACAATCAAAGTTGTTACAATACGTTAGTGCTAAAGATAATTATCAAAGGTACCTATATATTATATGTATTTTCGTGTTATATTTTTAATTTGCATAAGTTATAAGTTGTTATATTTCTTCTACACATTTATTCGATTCATTAATTCAAAAGAAAACATGTTTTTGTACGAAATGTTTGATACTTCAAAAACACCAATGTAACAAGCCAAACTTGAAATTTTATACGAATTTTTATAAAATAATCTGTACGAGAATAAGTCTAATTTAACTAAAGCATTTTGTTGAGAATATATGTTGTTTTGTCTAAAATGTGGCTATTTACAATAGCCAATAAAAGAAATTATTAATTTTTACGTTCGTATGTATTTTTTCTCACGTCATTTTGTTTGTTGAACCTGTGATATACCAAAAATATTAAAAATTGTTTAAATTTTTTATAAATTTTAGTTATATTTGTAATTACCGTATTTCATAAATATCAGCAGTTATAAGTATGAAGCCACAGTAATTTAAACTTGGGATATACGACAAAATTTATCGCATATTGGTATTTTTATTTTGAGTAATATTCAAAAGATCTTGCTGAATTATGCAAATTTTTTTGATCGTTGTGTCATCAACTTGTTTATAAACTTCCTCGTACGGTCGTAAAAAATCTACAGGCGTATCGATTGGCCGAGACAGTACATAGCATCCGTGGCATATGCGTTTTACAAAACGGACGAATTAATTGTTACAGCGCGCAATCGTGTAATTTCGGGCAATCAGCGCAATACAACGAAGACCGCTGATTAGGGATGATTTCCATCGTATTCGAATCATCGTCGTCCATCGGGATATTTGCGTCGAGCTGCTGCACGCATACGCATTTCGCGAACATCGCGATTTCGAAATACATCGTTAGACATGGTAGCACACACAGCTGACGCATCATGGGTACCGTGTCTCTGTACTATGGATTTATTGTAAATTCGAGCGTATCCATCAATATATATATATATGCGCACAGAGACACGGTACATTGGGAATCGATGGAATTACAGCCTGGCTTGCCGTTATTAACATATCGGTCAAATTTGATTTCTTTGGGGCATATTGCTGGAGGCCCGATATGGAATCGATATATTTAGAAATAAAAAATAATTCATCTCCAAGTTAGGCAGTATACGGTAGCAACGAACTTTTATTTCTCTGTTTACTTTGCTTATTAGATGAAAAACTACAAACTGCGCTACGGCGTATATGATCTGAACTTGAACGATACATATGTTTGCTCGTTGACACTAGTATAACGGTGTACAAAAGTCATAATGAATTATTGCGTCGTAAAAGAAAATCAATATTGATATTGTTTGACTGCTCTTGACGCTTGTCGCGCTGCAAGCACACACACAGACACACATGACGACCTGTTGAATTGCTAAGCTTTTTTTTCGCGCTTCCGCGTGTGCGTCCCCGCGAGGATTATTATCATTATTATCATCATTATTATGCGAATCTCTGTTTCTAGCACCACTTTAGTAGCTNGGGGGGGGGCAAAAAGCGAAATTCACGCTTATAACTCGATCGTCACGAGCAGCAGTGCTACACAGAACGTATAGCTAGAGCGATGCATCAGCGCCGGCTCTAGTCCACCCTCACCACCGGAGCACACGTATACTGAAATTCACGCGCTCCGCACGTCAACGCGTATTTATTATTACCTTTTCCCGTGCAGTTAAATGAAAATGCATTGCAGTAGCAGCGGCAGCAGTGGTGGTGGTGGCGGCGGCGGCGGCAGTACTCCATGCACGGCAGTATTCTTGGCTGCCGGAGACAAGCAACAGCACAAACACACACACCCGCATACACTCACACGTACACGTCCTAGAGCCGAGTGAGCGAGAGGGAGAGACAGCTAGAGGCAGTGACGGATGTTCGTCCACATGAGTATACACGTGTGCTGCGCTGCTATACTCCACAGCAGGGGTATATACGCCGTTGAACAGCCGCCACCGCCGTAGAACGGGTTTGTCACTTGCTAGGCGCGCTTTACCTTTTTCACGCCTCGCGTCACACTCATTGAAAAAAATGCATCTCTCTCGGCTCGCTCTCTACACCATATATTATATACGCATATACTGCAGCGCGCGTGTGATGAAAAAAGTAAGAAATAAAAATGTTTTGCCAGCTAGCTGCAGAGTACTCTAAACTCCGACTCGTCAGAGTCGCAGAGGTACCTTATCACGCCCTCGCGCGCGGCCGGCGATTCGAATGAACGGTGATTTTTTATTTGCGTCCCCTGCACGTGCAATCAATTATCTATCGGTGTATACCAGAGCTGGGGACCCAAAGCGAGACGCAGAGAGAGAGAGACGACGATTTCTAAAATTTATCGTGCCGACTCGAAAATGGGGAAGATCAATATAGCGTGGCGCGCGTCGTGTAAGCTATGCCAATAATTTGAATTGTAAACGACGACTCGAAACCTCTTGACAAAATATCTTTCGAGGGTCAAAATTCGACGAACGTCGGCTTATCGTGATTGTGACAATAAGCTCTCGAGAGCTATTTTCGGCACCTATTTCGGTTAAAATGGTTTGTTTGTTAGTGTAGCAGAGCTCGACTTTGGTAGACCATGTTAAAAATCACCAAAAGTGATAAGCCAAAATAGGTATTATGATGTAAAGTATCGTGCACTACTAGTTTTACGGAATATTTTTTCCAAAACAAAAACTTTCAAAAAACCACAACTTTATCGTAGATCGATTGTCGAAACGGCGCTTGATCGTATCGTTCTCTCGAGCAAAAAGCGCCACGTTATAAATCATGACCCAAAAATGTTGAAGAGGCTCAATTATTCCTCTTCCAAAGCTAGCTATCTCATTGAGCTACGGAGACATCATCTGGTTATACTCGCTCGCATTTAGCAAAGCAACAGCCATAGACAGAGGGAGAGAGAGCGAGGCCTCTTGATGCAATTACTTGCCACTCCTGACTGTTCTGCCTAACTGCAAGTGTGCATGTGTATATGTATGTGTGCGTGTGCTGTTACGAATTATCAGCAAAGGGGACTTAATAACACACGACACTTGAATGCTAGAGCTAGTAGTGGCGTGCACACATAGCCCTTGTTGCCCTCTACGCTGCCTATATGGCTACACCACCCATTGCCACTGCTGATGTCGAAGCAGCAACCCATTGGGGATGAGCCATTATTATTGACCTCTAACTCAGCCAGTAGTAGTAGTAGTACCCCTCAAGAGTCGGCAGAAATTTAATTTACCGCGGGCTTAAAACTCTAATGGATCTCTTTCAGGCTTGGCTTGGCTCTGCCGGAGCTTTTAAGCGCATTCACGTTTCATTAGCTTTCGACCGAAAGTCTATAGTATTTACGGACTGATAGTTCGTTCTCGCTCGCGTATAATTCTTGTATATATACGAAACATATTTATGCAGATTTTCTGAACTGCAGTTTGAATGACTGTAATCACGGAAAATCGATCTCCAGGCTCCGCTGCTGAAGCTGAAAATTTTATGAAGAGTGCGCCACGTGGAGTATGTGTGCACAAGCAAAGATTTGCCTCGTGTATAGTGGCGCACACGCCCTCCGAAAAAAAGCAAGCCAAGAAATGCCATATTTTTACATGATTTACCCGAAAGCATACGAGTGGGACGCACAGTTTGCTCGTTAATAATTAAATTTTCAATCTGGTCTTGGTGCGTATAGGGAAACTTACCCACTACACTTTTTAAATTTTAGATTTTATATATTGCGAGCGCAGAAAATGTAGAATGCAAAAAACTCGCTGCGAAAATGAATATTGAATGTTTATGGTACATGTATAAATTGAATAAACGATGCTTTAAAATAGTACTAAATTTATATATTGTGACAATCTCAATAGTTTGAATATAAAAATTTAAGCCTATCAACAACTATACGCTACGCTAAGTAATTTTTTAAATTAACTATTATTTCACCATCAGAAATAAGCACAATTATTTCATCGTTCAACAGTCTCTTTCAGGTATTCATCGTAAGATGCGATAAAATGTACGAACGATTATTATACGTATAAAATGTCTGAAATCTGCACTGGTAAAAACATTTTGACAAAAAATTAAAATTTTTCTTCTTTTGCTGAGCTCTCGGTTCGCTCAGCAGAGACGCATGTGCTTATTAAAAAGTGACAAGCTTATGTACACGTGCGGCTTGAGACGTTTATCGATCAGTGCATTGTTATCGACTGCTCCCAGATGTATAACTTTTCATTGTTCCAAGTCTTCGCTTGAATTTTTCGATTCGTAGCTCTAAAAAACGAAACGTAAAATTTTTAAATGAAAACGTCGAGCGCTGTAAATCATTAATGGTTTACACATTTTTACTCACGGATTTTGCGATTTGCAACAGATTTTCAGCTGTTCCGGCTCCAGTTTGTTGTACCATACCGTACAAAACTCCATCGTTGCGTTGAAGCAATTTGTATGGGTGATCGAATTCCTGATAGAAAATAAAAAATGAACGCTCCGTGTAATTTTTATTGTACGTTTTGACTTTAACGTGGATAAATGTGCCCATCGATCGGTCTAATTGTCGCGATCTTTTCGCAACTTCACGTAATCATCAATCAATATCTCGACGCGATGAGTCGACACTTATTTGCACTTTAAAATAGATCTCGATAAGATACACGATATTTTCCTTAGTCATAGATTAAATTATACGCGCGGAAAAGCAGTTGGGACAAAAAAAAGAAGGCCATTGTGTACTCACGACGACTCGTCCAGCATCCATGACAATGATCTTGGTGCTGTCCATGACCGTGTTGAGCCGATGGGCGATAATGAGCACGGTACAGTTGGCGAATTTCCTGCGTATGGCCTTCTGAATGAGCTCGTCGGTGCGCGGATCGACGTTGGCCGTCGCCTCGTCCAGCACCAGTATCTTGTTGTTCCGGACGATGGCCCGGGCCAGGCAGAGCAACTGCCTCTGACCCACGCTGAAATTCGTGCCGCCCTCCATGACGCGCATCTCGAGGCCGAGGTCCGAGTCGAGGGTGCCCTTGAGCTCGACGTCCTCGAGGGCTCGCCAGAGCTCGTTATCGGCGTACTCCTCGAACGGGTCGAGATTCGTGCGCAGCGTGCCGCCGAACAGCACCGGCTCCTGCGGTATAATACTGATTTTCGAGCGCAGATCGCGCAGCGATATCTTGCTCGTGTCCAGGCCGTCGATTTTGATCTCGCCCTCGAGATCGGCCAGGCGGAACAGGGCGTTGAGCAGCGACGACTTGCCGGCGCCCGTACGGCCGACTATGCCGACCATCTCGTTGGGCTCGACGCAGAAGGTGAGATGCCTCAGGGCCGCCTTCTTCTGGCTGCCGTAGGTCAGCGTGACGTCGTTGAACTCGATCCTGCCGCTCGCGGGCCACTTCTCCGGCGGCTTGTTCTCGCTGCTCTCCAGGGCCGGCTCCTGGGGCAGCTTCGTGTACTCGAGCACCCGCTCGACCGAGGTCATCTGATTCTCCAGCTCGGCCGTCTGGCGCACGCCCCACTGCAGCATGCCCGTGAGCAGGATGCACTGGGTGATAACCAGACCGGCGCTCCCGGCCAGGGCCACGTCGTTCACCGCCACGAGGGTGAAGACGACGCTGGCCGTGAAAATTAGGTAGATGCTCTCGATGTAGAAGCCGAAAGCCCTAGAGCCCGAGAAGAACAGGAACCAGGCTGACGAGTGCAGGTCTTGGTGACTGTCGAACTCCTTGGTGAGCACTTCCTGGGCCCTTAGAGCTCGTATCGTCGAGATGCCTTGGATACTGGCGCTCAGGTGATTGAATACCGGCGAGCGGGCTGAAACGTTCGAACGATCGTGACAATCAAGCAGTTACATAATTACTCACGCATGTTGGAAAACTTTTTGTCATTACTCACTTATGCCCTCCAATCGTTTGATGCTGCGACTGCCGCTCATGTAGAACGTTCGGAAAAAGTAGGCGAGCGTGCCCAGAGCCGCGGCCGGCAGCAGGAACCACGGATTGACGCTGGCTATTATACCGAGCACCGCGATCGTGTACAAACTGATCTGAGTTACGTCGATGATTGTTTGAGGCACCCTCGTGTCAACGATACCCATGTCTTTGGAAAATCTGAAACGGACGCGATTTAATTTTTTTCATCCAAAATAAATTTAGATTTAAATATTTAAGGGCGATGGTAAAATCACAAAATTGCACATACACAGGAGAGAAATGAATGCAATGCACCGATCAATGCCAATGACCCAAGGTGTATACGATTGTCATTTCAGCATGGATGCTACTTAGGCACATCGGCGTTGCTACTACATTCATCTCCCGTCGCGTACCTGTTTAAAATGCGTCCAATCGGGTTGGCGTTGAAGAAGGCCATGGAGGTGTGGCAGATACTGTCGAACAGGGCCGCGTGAAGATTCCTCGATATCCTCATGCACATGTCGAAGAATATGTAGGCCTGCAGCAGAGTCAGGACCATCGTGCCGATCGTCATCGAGCCCAGCACGTAGATGAACCAGCCGCGGCCCTGCAGGGGATCGCCCTCGACGGCGCTCAGCGTGTTATTGGCCTCCTTCTCCTCGTAGTTCACCCAGTAGGAGATGAAGTAGTCGGCGCCGCTCGACATCACCTGACACATTATGCTGACCACGTAGACCATGAGGACGAGGAAGACGTTTTTCGCCGCGCCGAAGTACTGCAGATAGGTCTTGGCGGTGATGTTGCCGCGAGTTCGGCTCTCCTCCTCCTCGTCCTCTTCCTCCTCGGACTTGGCCGCCACGGCTGCTGCTGCTGCTGCTGGCTTGGCTGTGCCGTTCTCCTTGTTGACGGGTGGATCGATGACGTCGTCGACCGCATCCGAGCCTTTGTCGTTCTCCTTGCGAATCATCTTGGCCAGATCCAGGGCCGAGTCGAGCAGCTCGGTGGCACTGCCCTGAGCCTGTATCTCCCCGTCGCCGAGTATGACGATGTGATCGACGTTCTTCAAGTAATGAAACTGATGCGTCACCAGCACGACGGTCTTGCCCTTGAGGAACGACTTGATGCACTTCTCGAAGATGCCACGGCCGACGTGGCTGTCGACCGCTGAGAGCGGATCGTCCAACAGGTAGATGTCGGCCTCCTGGTAAATCGCACGGGCCAGATTGACTCGGGCACACTGGCCGCCGCTCAGATTGATTCCTCGCTCGCCCACGAGGGTCGAGTCGCCGTACGGCAGCAGCTCCAGATCGCGTTTCAGCTGACAGACCTCGATGACCTTGTCGTAGCGCTCCTTGTTGAAGGGCAGACTGAAGGTGATGTTCTGCCGGACCGTCGACGCGAAGATCCACGCCTCCTGGCTGGCGTACGACATTTTACCGGCTATCTTGATGTCGCCCTCGACGTGGGGCATCTCGTTGAGCAGGGCGTGAAGCAGCGTCGTCTTGCCCGAGCCCACCTGGCCGACGATCGCCGTCAGAGAGCCCAGCTTGACGTCGAGATTCACGTGGCTCAGCGCCTCGTGTTTGGCGTCGGCTTTCCATTTGGCGGTGACGTTTTTCAACGAGACGGCCACGCCGTCGTTGGCCTCGGCACTGACGTAGCTGATGTTCGACGCGTTGGCTTGAACCTCGTCGGAGACTAAAAATTTCTGCAAACGTTTGACCGACACAAAAGCCTCGGCGCATTCTTTGATACCTGTTGCGGATAACGTGATTGAATTTTTTTGTTTTTTTATAGTAAGCGCAAAACTCGCACACTGCTGACGTCAGTAGTAAAGAAAATCATACCAAGTGGGAACATTCTGTATAAACTCGTTCGCAGCACGTTGTAATACGCCGTGACCAGGTACACTTTTTCCGCGTCGATCGTATTGCCGAACAGAATGTATGCTAATATCGTCACGAAAAGGCATACCCGTGGAATGTAACTCTCGAACGACCAACATATCTCGCTCATCATTAAATTATTCCTAATGACTTTTACCTCTTTTCTGAAACATTCGTAATTGTCAGATTTTCCATTGTTTGAGAAAAAAATTATACAATCGATATATCGTCAAATGATGAAATTCAAACTCACTCTCTAGCTTTATCAACAAGAAACGAGAACGGTTTTTCCCAGGCGTACATTTTGATGACTTTGACGCCGCTTATGATTTCATTAGTCAATCTTAAGCGCTCATCGGTTTTGAAGGAGAATTTCAACGTGAAATACGACGACAGCTTGCCATAACAACCTATTGTGAAGCGAAAATCGTTTTCGTATTAAATAACGTATTTCTGCGGGCTTTCGTGAAACATTGAATGTTATTACAAAGCTATATAATACCGTGGACGGGTATGAACAGCAACATCGTAAAAACTCCACCGACTGCGGCTAAATTTACTTCTCTGTACAGAAGGTACGACACGAGGGCCGTCTGGATCATCGTTATCCATATGTAATGCAGCGAAAAAACTGAATAGTCGAGCCTGTTGACGTCGTTGCTCAACAAATTCACCATCTGCAAGAACACGATAATTCATGTTACGGCTTTAATCGAGCGAAATCATAATATTTTAAAAATGGAAAATAAATCGCCGATAATAAATGTTGTACATACTTGGCCGACGCTGGTATCGCCTTCGATGGCCGATTTGGATATTCTCAAAATTTTCCTATAAATCAGCGAGCAGCAGGCTACTCTTATTTTCATTCCCATGTGCATGAGTCCTTGATAAACCGGATGATTAATTATACAGGATAATGCTACGCCTAAAACTATACCCGAGGCCCAGTAATAGGCCTGGGTTCGATCCACTCCAACTTTACCACTAAAATATTTCAACAGGTTTGCCAGTATAATCGGTTGCGTCGTTCTGAAAAAGAGAAAAAGAATATGCAAAGTGCGTCGATTAGATGCTGGACAATCGGCGACTTCAATCATCGTCTACAGAATTTTTTTTTTTTTATTCCTTACTTTACTAAAAATTCAAATAATCCTAAGATGAATCCGTAGACCATGAGTTCGCAGCCGAAACATTTGACGATTACTCTTAGCAAGCTCGGGGACGACTTCTTTTTCGTCGACTTTTGACAGCGCTTCTCCTCGGATTCCCATAATTTTGATATTTTTTGACCTAATAAACTGCTTGTGTGCTCGTCCAGGGGCGAGTAGAGGTCCGATATCTCCAATTCTCGTTTGTATCCCGTTCGAAATATATCGAATAGCCAACTTTTGAAGTAAAAATAAAACGTGTAAAATTAGTTTTCAGTTAATTGGCGAATGAGGAGTATCAATCGATAATCCAGCATTAATTAAGCATTCCTTTAAATTAGAAATTTTTCAGTTCACTTTCGAGCACATAATACTGAACTATCTATAGTATTAATTTAATTCAAATTTTGATAAAAATACCCAGTAATTAATTATGCTTTTCTAAATAAATAGTAACTAATAATAAATAAACATGTGTCTGATTTTTGTCAAATCTTTAATCAAATAAATAATATTTACATTGGAATTTATAATTTAATGAGTAAAAAGTAATAAGTAATAATGATATTCGAGTTGTGCTCGTTTACTAAAATAGCTCAACTTAAGCCAAATGTCAATTCAGATTATTATAATGAAATTATCTTGATGTTTTCGTTGATAATAAAACAATACCTAGAAAACGGTATCGTTAAATCAGTTGCAATTTTATTTAAATGAGTATAAATTAAACGCACTAGTAGCAAATAAAAAATACTTGATTTTAATATTAATTTATAAAACGTAGAAAATTTTCAGGGTGTCGTTTCATTTGCATGTCACGTCTTGTCAATTACAGGAGCTACTTTTTTCTCAAGTGCGTAAAACTGGAAGTCATGCTATAATCTCGAGCAAATAAACTTTTATCAGAAGACGCGGTAGCAGACATTAATCAAATTCAAGTTATACACAATTCATTTCGCGTTTGCTGTAGAGAGAGATCATGATCAGTGTTTACCTTCTGTACATAGCCGGCTATGTATATGCCATTATATACGTGTAGAGTTAATAGCTTTACCCTACAAACACACACGCGCGCGCACACGCCTGCACACACCGACGGCAATTTTATCCTCAAACATAGACTAATTTCTGTACTTACGTAAAGGTGATGGCTGATAAAGGATTGGCAGTCCGTCTCGGATTGTTTAAATGCTTCTTCTCGTTCTTGTCCATGGCTTGGGTGTGTTTGTGTATGTGTGCGTAACTTGGCGCGATTTACGATATGGCGCACAAAGATGTAATATTACTTCCTCGGGGGCTTATTTAACATTCACGCACCAACGAACGAGTCCAGTCTAACAACGTGTGATACAGTCTATAGTGGCAAACAATTTGAAAAATCCAATTATCACAGAGTAGTAGTGGCGTCAGACAGCTGCAGTTGTCAGCTGCAGCGATGCGCATTGTGCACGCACAACCCGAAACAATGAGATGAGCACTTGATATTATGCCGCCGAACACGTTTTTTTTTTTTTTTTTGTTACGGGCGATGCTATAACACGCAAGCTCGTACGAGTACTACTGTACACTTTGGGCGAGATGAATATGGCACGTTTTTTTTCTCTCTCTCTCTATCTTCCACTCTACCCCCGCACCTGCACGCAGATGGAAACGTTCGGCGCGTCGATAATATTTGTTATAATAAGCTTTATACGAATTGTAATACTGCTGGCTGCGCGCGTGTGCGAAGCTCGATCGTCGCGTGGCAAGAGTCGTAGCGTCTCTCTCCGTCTCCCAACGAGTTCGTATACTTATATTCGATACCGATCAGCTGTGCCGTACGACTACAAATAAAAGCACACCAGGGCTGCGAACGCAAGAAGAAAGAGAAAAGAGAGAGAGAGAGACCCGAGCCACTCGAGAATGCATATAACTGGTGGAGAGCTGGTCGTACAAAAGATGACTCACTTGTATGGCTGCGAGCCACGTGCTCAGCACGAAGTCCAAGGTCCGATACGACTACGGCGACGACGAATGGCACAGCGCAAACCATTATAATCTCACTAAATCAATGTTTACGGACAACAAGGGACGAGAAGACAAAAAATCCCAACGGTTCGTTTGGCTCGTTTACGAGTCGTCTCTGCGGGTCCAATTGCGCTGGGTTTTTTTCTTTATACTTCGGTTTCGTTGTACGATTGAATTTATCGTCGCGGATTTTGTGATGTGGTCAGCTAAAATACTCGGCATGCGGTATATATTATATCGAAGTTTACATTTGGAGCAAGGGAACTTTGAGCTTTCATTTGTATTATGTCATTCGAGCATTACAGGGGGTATATCCGTTACTTCCTTATCACGGTAAAGGTGTCGCGTTCAATAACGTTATCGTCGAATACAAATAATAATTGATTTTTTGCCCTGCGCGGCCAGAAAATAAATGCGATCGCGTGGTCTGAGCTTATAGAAAGAGAAAAAAAATTATATGTGTACCATTCGTCTGGGGCTCGCGTGGGATGCTACACTCAATGACTCATCTGATAAGAAATAATCTCTTCATCGATTTCATACGAATATAATGATCAGTGCACTCGAACACAATCGTAGAAGACACGATTTCTTTCGTAAAAATATAAGAAGCTTGGTTGTATATTTATATTTGGTCAGGGGCTCTTAACCACTGCTTTGTTATAAAACATTCAAGTAGAGTCGTGAATTAACGAGCAATTAGCAAATGATAATGATGCGTTGCCGCGCGGCGAAGCCAATAATGAATTATTTAAACAATCAAAAGCGAGCGTACCGACTATCGATCAATAAAACGAATACATTGATGAGTGCGCAATAATAAATATGATTTGCGGTGAAAGTAAATATGAATATAATGTCGGATTATGGATTACCGTTGAGAACGCGTGAAACTAAACTATTAGTAGTAGTAGTAGTAGTAGTAGTAGTAGTAGTAGTAGTAGTAGTAGTAGTAGTAGTAGTAGTAGTAGTAGTAGTAGTAGTAGTAGTAGTGTCACAGACTGTCGCCGCCTACTACAATAGACAGCTCTGTCGCGCCCCGTGTAGCCGCGCAGCAGCTGTACTCCCGTGATCCCGTGGAACGAGCTATTATGTGCTGCGATATATGTATAATGTATCATCCAAGACGTCTTGAGCTGCCTATGTATAGTTCTGTCTCGGTGACACGCTACATCGCTGCGAAACGATCGAGTGCGTGCGCGGTGAATCGCTCGCTTCAACTATCGGCATACATGCGCGACTCGCGGTATCTCTCTATTACAAAATGCTGCTGCTATCACAGGCACAGCTGCTGCTACTGCTGCTGTTGTATATTATAACGGCGCTCGCACGCACGTCTCTATATGTGTATATAATCTTGTTGCGCGCGAGCTCCTTACACTTTATTGATCACCGACTGACTGAAGCAGAGAATCGCGTGCCGCAAATGTATCGCTGTTTGTACGTATAATGTCGTAGCTTCGATTCGCGTACTCGAGCTCAATTGATGTTCAAGACGACGATGCGTATAACCGAAAACGCGTGAAAACAAATGATAAGCTCGCGCGACACCAACTCCGCGGGGAAATAAAATTACGTCATTATTTCTTCTCTTTTTTCACCTGGCTTTGGCTTTGCTTTCTTTCGCTCCGACCTTATACGGCGAGCGAGCGCCAATAATTGACAACTGCACGACCGACGACGTTTAATGCTGCTGCGAGCGTTGCAACACTTCCGAATGTTCGCGTTTGTGATTGTTGACTCTTTATACGTCGCACACACAGTCATAGCCGCGCACACGACAGTTTGTTATTGATAAATCGTTAATTGGATTCGTTTAATGAAGTGTACTGCTGCGCGGTGATTTGCTCCTTTTGCTTTTTCAACGAATAATGTCGTTTGTGCAAAATTTCAAGCACAACGGCAAATTGAGAGCTGTGGAAGCAGAAGGAACGCCAGTGAACGAGTGTGTGTCTAATTCGACTCGAGGGAAATATTTTCTATTCCTCTTCTATGTTGTTTATTATATCTTCTTTGAGTGTATTTTGATGCAATGTATTTTCAGCTGGTGGAGAAAGTGTGATGTCAAACATTTTTTCAGGTATAATTGAAATATATCAAACATTTGTGAAAATAAATTTTTTTTAAAACATCAAAACAAACTTAATTTTTTATTAATAATCTCATATGGATAATGCAAGGCGTACTCACTGATAAGGTGCAAGGTATGATAGTTAAAAAAGGCATGGTAATTTATTACTATAAGTAGCTAAGCATTAGTCAGTACTTTAATCATTATCAAGCTATGCGACATGTATTTACTATAAACAAAGCTAATTCGTAATAGATAGTGATAATGCCATTTAACGCTTCTAGTGAATAAATAATCAATCCTATATTTAGAATTCAGAACTCTCGAGACGATACTCTTACCTTTTAAAAATACACATTCTTCTGTTGCAAAATCCAAAACTTTTGATTTGAATTAATCAAACCATCAAATAATGTAATACAAAGTTTACTTAGAAGTTAATTTTGCAGATAAATTTATCAACAGTTCAAGTGCGAAAGTAAAATACATCGAATGGTTCGCAAACAGGAAAAAAATTTGCATCCTGAAGAAGATATCTACGTTAAGATTTTCGCAAATAATCTATCGGCTGTAAAGTCGTCTAAAGCTTTTGTTTAAATCAACGTATCACTTGACGATTGCGATCTTGCCGCCAAGCTCGACGATTTCAGATAGTCTGATGAATTACATCAGACAAATTTTCCAACGATTTGTGGCGTACTCGATTGAAAGCCACAAACGCGATATCAAATATTGATTTTAATTTTATAAATCGAGGTCCGAGGCAATCAGCCTGAGTAGAGGAACATTTCACCGTAATCAAGCGTGTAACAGAGGATCTGTTGTGGCAAGTTTTTCAATCTATCATGCTCACCTGAGAGACTGTCTCGCGGATTAATTATGGATAAATTTCATTAGCGGGAGGGTCACGCGTGTACTTACTACCAAATATATGAACAAGATGCATTTGTCACGCTCTACTCACTTTTGTTACGAATGTAACTAATTTATGCAATACATAAAAGTCTGCTAAGACATTCAAAAGAAGCATAGTCCAAGAAATTATGCCATACCAAATATTTTTTCGGTATGCATCGGAAAAACTGTCTTCAACTTTCTTCAACTGTCAACATCAAGGACAAGCGAATTGTATAGTGACTAGCATCATTAAAATTAAAGAATTTAACATATTGATTACTCAAAATAAAAAAATAATCATTTTTTTGAATACTAATAAAACATGTTGGTTACCGAGTCTTATACATAAGGCCGATTCTCTGTGAAATCGAATGGCCAAAAAAATTTTTTTTTGCAAATATGAAAAACTTGTTGTATTTGATGTCAGATTTGACCCAAGAAAATTTTAGAAAAATTGGGGCCTTCTATGACACTTTTTCAGAGGCCCAAAGTTGGCCATTTTAGGGTTTTTTGGAAATTCATGAAAAATCAAAAATATTCAAATAATTCCTGGATTGAAGTAGAATGATTCAAAAGTAAAAGTGCCCAGCAACTTTTTTGTTAAAAATTGTCAAAATTTTCAGAAAAAAAGTATGCCAAAGTGATTGGAGCTATATAGTAAAGTGAAAAGCTCTCAAAAGTTGAAAAAAACACAAAACAAGAAATCTACTCGAGTTCCTAAACTATGTAAAAAGCTTCCCAAAGATGTCAACTACTGCCTGATAAAGTTTTGTAATGGGTCTTAAAGTTTAACGCAATGTAGACAACATTGTGTGGCGAAAAACGTGTAAAAAAGGTCAAAAATAGGCCTACAATGCCTAAAATCACTAAAAACAGCCATTTTCAGACCTTTTATGCACGTTTTTCGCCACACATTGTTGTCTACATTGCGTTAAACTTTAAGACCCATTACAAAACCTTATCAAGCAGTAGTTGACATCTTTGGGAAGCTTTTTACATAGTTTAGGAACTCGAGTAGATTTCTTGTTTTGTGTTTTTTTCAATTTTTGAGAGCTTTTCACTTTACTATATAGCTCCAATCACTTTGGCATACTTTTTTCTGAAAATTTCAACAATTTCCAACAAAAAAGTTGCTGGGCACTTTTACTTTTGAATCATTCTACCCGGATCCAGGAATTATTTGAATATTTGTGATTTTTCATGAATTTCCAAAAAATGCTAAAATGGCCAACTTTGGGCCTCTGAAAAAGTGTCATAGAAGGCCCCAATTTTCCTAAAAATTTTTTTGGTCAAATCTGACATCAAATACAACTAGTTTTTCATATTTGCAGAAAAAAATTTTTTTTGGCCATTTGATTTCACAGAAAATCAGCCATAAATATAAATTATTATTCTCTATAAAAGATTAGTCTTACATTAAATATCGTGTAAATCACTCATTGCTAATACTACAAAAATTTAATATTCGTAATGTTAGACTTACTAGTCATTTTATGATTTATAAAAAGTACATTGCAGAAAACCAAGCAATCTAATAAAATAGTTAGATAAATTTAAAACAATTAATGTTCTTAAAATTATATTCATTTTTTCGAGTTTCAACGTTGTTTTTACATAAGATCGATAACAATAATAAATATACGAATTCTTTCTTTATCTTTATATCATTATATTTTTATATCTTTATATCAATCTAAAATTTTCGATTTGTCCTATGAAAAAATAAATCACAACTTTCATTACGGGTTTTCGTACAATTGAATATACATTTTAAACATTTAATTCGTAGGGATAGTGTCACATAATAGATTCCGACATGCCTGAAGAGATTATTCTTACATGAATATTTCTTTTTGCGGGTATAGATTATTTAGATGGTACCATTGCACCCAATATCTATATGGGTTTTGAGACTAATCTTGTATACGGACGTTTTTCCACATAACCACATGCCGTTTCACGTGCCGCATTAGGCTAGATCGCATAGAAAATATTTTTTCACATACATCGCACTTATGTGTGATACCATTATGCAAAGCGTCAATGTGGATTTTAAGATGACTCTTTTGTGAAAATGTCTTCCCGCATGTATCACAGGTGTGGGTGATACCATTATGCAAAGCGTCAATGTGGATTTTAAGATGACTCTTTTGTGAAAATGTGTTCCCGCATGTATCACAGGTGTGGGTCATACCATTATGCACAGTCTTGATGTGTAATTTGAGATTACCTTTCGTTGCAAAGTTCTTCCCACATGTGCCACATGTGTGGGTGATACCATCATGAAAAGCCTTGATATGGGTATAAAGATTACACTTTTGTGAAAATGTCTTCCCACATGTATCACAGGTGTAGGTAATACCATTATGCACAGTCTTGATGTGTAATTTGAGATTACCTTTCGTTGCGAAGTTCTTCCCACATGTGCCACATGTGTGGGTGATACCATTATGTATAGTCTTTATGTGGATTTTAAGATAATTCTTTGTTGAAAATGTCTTCCCACATGCATCACAGGTGTTGGTAATACCATTATGCATAGTATCAATGTGGATTTTAAGATAATTCTTTGTTGAATATGTCTTCCCGCATTTTTTACAGGTGTAGGTAATACCCTTGTGCATCGAATCTATATGTCTCTTTAGATTAACGTTTTTTGAGTATTTTTTCCCAAAAATATCACACGCATAGCCGATACTATGATGCGATAATTTGATGTGTCTCTTTAGATGAATTTTACGAGTAAATGTTTTTTCACAAGTTTTACATGCATAAATACATTCATTACTGAAATTCAAGTCCAATTCTTTTTTCACTCCGTCCATAGCTTCTATTTTAACTGCGGTCAGAGGTTTATAATCATTGTTGTATTTTATATTCTGAAAGCAATTTTGAGAATAATCTTCAATTTTATTGTCTACTAATGAATTTATGCTGAGCTTCTCGTCTTTACATTCGAATTCGATTTTTATATTGTCAAGCTCACTTTCATAAGTTTCGTCAGATTTTCGAAGCACATGAATCTGCAATAAAATTGAAATTATATGATAATTACCGTTGAAAATATTGATTATATGAATTATCTATAAAATTATCTACCCTTTCTGAATTCTTTTGTAGAAAGATTTCGGACTGAACATTTTTGGTATCAAGATTAATTATATTAAAATTATTTTCAGAATTTAACTCATCTTCAGGTTCCAGTTTAACCCTGAAACAAGTGTAAAAAAATTGAGTATTAAGTCATAATGTCAATAATTTTATTTAAAAAAAAAAAAAAAATTACCTGACAGCACCGTTTAATTCTTCAGTCAATTCCATCCTGCTCGCGAGGAATTTCATTAACGACTAATATTTCTGTAATAGTATTACATATCTCTAAGTAACTTAAATAGAATCAAATAATATTTACAACTCATGATACGACAATTTATACACATCAACGTTAATAAACAAAGCAAAATTAAGTAATTATATATTCACAAGTGATACATGATTGTTTTCGTGCCACAAAAGAATAGAAGAATTGACACAAAATATAATATGAAAAAATGTGAAATTATAAAAATGACTCTAAGGTGCGCTAAATGTACAGAACAAGAGCTGACATCATAAAAAGCGCCTTGAGTACAACTACCCGACATACATCAAATTCTAAATTGTAGTATAATGTATTGGCTCTATGAATAATTTCGCGACTGATTAAATCAATATAAATAAAATTTTTATAAATTATCAAGCGCCTTATAAATAAAATATGTAATTTATTACATATTTTATGTGTTATTTTTTTTGTTTTCGATTTAAATTTAGTTGAGCTGTAAATGCTCAACTAAATGCTCAACTAATGCTGTAATTAACTTCTGGCACATATTTCCGACGTTGCATTCATCAATCATAACGAAATACAATTCTTTAAAATCAATTATTGTAATAACTTGAAAATATTGCCAAACGCTTGCGATGAAAGTTCAGACAAAAAAAATTAATCAATGTTAGCAATTACAAAACATCGCTATGACAAATTTAGTTTAGTTATTCTTACCAATGTTTTCGTGCCTACCCTGTGTTTCTCATACATGGAAAAAAACAATCATGTTCCTAGAGGTGAAAAAATTGAAGCTCTTTTAGGGCATATTTTTTCAGTAAAAGAGATGACTCGAATTTTAAAAGAAAACACCGTGCAATGATGACGATCATACTTTTTCCCTTCTTTTTATCCATTTTGTCGCGATGAGTTTAATTGTGTTGTGATTCAATTATAAGTTTTAATTTTTTTCCCCGCTATAATCGTGACGCAGCTTTCCGATAGCTTTTTGCCCTGGGCAAATTCTTATTCCTGCGAGAGGGAGCTATAAAAGCAAATTCTGTTAAACGCGTAAGGTGATAAGAAGAAACGAGGTATTCGATACTTCATTTTTAGTATTTTTACCATAATTTAAATTATCAATTTAAACTGCAACTTTCAAGCTATTATTTTACTGAAATTTGCTAAATTTATAATTTAGCAAAACGAAATTCATCCTTGATAATCTTTGAAATCGAGTAGTTAATAAGTTCAGGAATAGGTCATGCGATCCGTATACCAGGGGAAAAAGGCACAGAAACGCTATAAACATTATAATAACGTTATTATCTCGTAATCGGAAAAAAGTGGAGATGGTTAGATCGGTCTGCACTAACGGTTTTGGCAAAATCAGCGGCTGCAAAAAAGTCACGGCGCGCTGGTGTAGTAACGCTTGGCTTATGATGCGTCGAAAAAGGCTCTCTGTGCAAATCTCAGCGCGCGACGTAAAACGGAGCAAGTGCACGGCGCATGTAATCCATTAAATTTCGCACATGTAACGCGGTACGCGCACACAAAGTACGTATAATATCTCTCTCGGCTCTCACGCGTAGGTGTGTGTAAGCGTGTGTGCGCGCCACGCTCGACATGATTTTCTGATTTCGTGATCTTGTGCACATTGTATTACGGGTTATTTGCCCGAGTGGAGTGAGAGAGAGAGGTGCATCAGCCGCGTGTATACCTAACGTACATATAAAAGTTTGCGCTCATCATTTGTTCGCCGACATACATGTGTAGCTGAGGGTACACACTGCACACATGCCGGAACGTTATTCAATTACGAGCTTGGCGCGCGAGAAGTTCGCGGAAAGAGTCGCGGCGCGCGTGCACGAAACTGCCGCGCTCGCTGGTCACGATCTACAGGTATAAAAAAAAAGAGACGTTCGTTTTTTTTACGATCGCGAAATAACAAAGTGCCCGTTAATAGAGACAGCAGAAATGTCACACAGCAGCGCAGTTCTATGACTAACGGCTCAACCAGGGACAAATAAGGCCGAGGTTCGTATGATTCGAACTAATTCCTGCGAAAATTCGTTGGTCCACGGATCTTCTTCTTACGGTAAAACGGAAATGATCTCGCTGCTCCTCGAGCGAGAAAGAGAGAGGCACGAGTGGGGGATGCTGCAAAGAGAGCAAACCTGAGTGGAGAGACTGGGCGAATATATAGCGCGCGCGAAGTCGAGCAAGAGAGCCGAAGAAGCTGTGCGGCCCGAGAGAGAGAGAAACAAAGTAAAGCACCTATGTATGCAGCGGAGATCGTGCAGTCCTTGCCGCGGATGTTTGGCTGTACGAGCTGGAATTGTACATTCGGCGCAGGAAAGGAACTGTGCAGACAGTAGTGCACACTGTCGGACGCGCAGCGCAGTTGTGTGTGTGTTTGTGTATGTGTGCGAGAGAACTTACTGCGGCGGATACTCCCTTCTGCGCTCTGCACGCGCCTGCGCGCGTATTCCTGTCTCGGTCTGCACCTCCGCTCTCTGCTGCTGCGCGCGTGTGTGTATGTTGTTCTCTCGAGTCCCTATGTGCATACGCGCGCGCGAGTTATGTCAGTGTCGTTGTGTGTGTATCGTCGGGCGGACTCGCGTGTGTTGTGAGCCATTTTTTTTAGCCCATGACAAATGCGCGAGCGTAAGATTTCGAGATTTTCACCGTCTGCTAAAGTCGATGACGGACTGACTGTGCGGGGCTCGTGAACGAAAAAAAAAAACAGAAACAAAACAAACGCGGGCTGTTGGCGGTGCAAAGTGTTTTTGTTGTTGTTACTGCAAGTCTACAGTGTACGAGGAAGAGTTTGTACAGCGTCTGAGAGAAAGAGAGGCCGATATTGACATTGACTGCGCACGGGGGCGTCCGGCGCATAGCGTTGCACTGATATACCTATATACACTCCATCAGCTGGTCTCGTTTCGCTACTTTCTAAATGATATCAGGTGAGTCTGTTTGAGGTTATACGGTTCTGCAAAACACTGGAGCAGTGCATCCAGGATTACGATACGTACGCAAAGCAATTTTTAATGCATCCTCTTTCGGTCTCTCTTAAAAACATAATATTCTCGTCCTGATGTAATGTCCCTCGTAATGCATCAAGATCTTCGTGGTTTTTTTCTTCGACGAGAAGAGAAAGACGGAGATAACTCGAGTGACTGGTTTCTTTTTGTTCCTTAGTTTTGGGTTTTCCTGACATTGACCCTTCGTGCTCATTCTCTTTTGCAAATATGTCATACTCGTTACAATCGGTAAAATAAAATACATTTATCAGAACATTATTAAGGTTAATTAACTCACGTGTATAATTCACTCTAACTCAAAATTGAAAACTATTATATACTGAATATTGATGTTTGGCTTTTTCCCTTTATTGATTATTTTTATTCGAATGCAAATATTGAAATCAATAAAACACGTGAGAAAATTACAAGTAACTTCAAGTACGTCTAAAAGGACGCTTATTGGCTTTTCGAAAATTAATTACTTTCAAAAATGGTTGGAAACGTTATTCCGAATGCATCGCATCGTGCTCCTCTGCGCGCATTTGCAAAACAAACATTATCGTAAGTGGGCATCGACGGTATACACAAGTAGGCACGATGCCCCTCTGCATTTATGCGGATGCTCTCAAAATACTACTTTACATAGAGCGTGTATGTATGTTAGTGAGTCGTGCATTGATTCTTTTCTATCGCTCTCGTATACACACATTAATACGGAGTTTACATCGGTGTATATACGTCGGTGCAGTTGCAGTAAAGCAATCGTCGGCGCCGACAGATATACATTATTCGTACGTACGTGATGAAGCGCGATTATACCGGTAATAATCATGAAAAGATCGCACGAGTCCTGTATTAGTGCAGTAATAGTAGTAACAGCAGCAGCAGCTATATACAGAGAAGAGAGAAAGCACCTATGTTGATGTTATGGCTCTCATTAGCCCCTCTGCATAGCTGCCGCAGCAGCAGCAGCAGCGCACGTGTGCAACGACGTGCTCCTCTTCTTCTATGCTATATATATAATTATATAGCGCACTGCTTTCTTATTCTCCTAGCTCTATAATGTTACGGTGCGCGCCAGTGCAACGGTTTATGGTACTGCTGTCTCCTGCACTCGTTATCCCGATCAACGCTTTATCACCGCCAGAGACGTCTTGAATTCAACTTTTTTTTTCTAGAGTCTCTTTCTCTTTGGTCAACGCCAAGAAACAGTTGTAGAAAAATTATGTCGTCCCAATTTTTCCGATCAAATCCCGAAGCGCGCGCTCGAAATTGAAGCTTCAACGCGCGGAGCTTTACCTACTGGGAGCAAGGAGAGGGGGGTTGGTTGGTTGGTTGGCGCCGCCGACAAACATTATACTTATCCAGATACCGCTTATTAGAACGCAGAGTGCAGAAATGACCGAGATAGAAGCTCGCTGGGAATATAGGAATGGCGAGCATATAACTACTACTGTACGCAGGATCCTCGCGCGCACGATACCAAGGTGCGATAGGAGAAACGAACTGCCTCGGTCTGTGCTTTTATCTCGACTATACGGCCGCCTTTGGGGTATACATTACCCCTTTTAGAATAAAACTCATCTCCGTGCTGCACGCACACACACACAAACACCCGCGTTATATTTGTTGGGAATTTATCGCGCGAGCTTCATCTTTTCTCTACAGCTCTTGTGTACATAAATAATATACGTTTTCGTGAATGTACGTGGATTTGCCCGATGACCGGCTGCGTGGCATTGCGTAAGACAACAAAATGCGTCCACAAAGATGGACGATGATTTCATTGAAAGTTGGTTAATTTTTCTCTTTGCAGTCCGCTATAGTAAGCCTATTCCGCGCGTCGTTGTGCGACTGGACTCGCTGACGCAATAATCAGCTATAGCCACGGTAAAAAGAAGTAGCGGGAAAAAGCTCTCTGAAAGCTAACATTTACCTACAATTTTTACGGCCTCAACCTCTGTACACATTGCAATGCCATGTCCAGGGCTCGCGTACACATACTGCATACACACACACACATACATATG